AGTAAGGTATACCTTAAAAGCTATAATATAGTACCCTTTTTATATATTAAAAAAGGCATAATTTAATAGTGCTATAAAGTCTTTTTTATAACTAGGTAAGTAAGCTACTTTAATACTATTAATATATACTTACTTACTAATACTTTATAAGCCTTAAAAGTATATTTATTTTTAGCTTAGTAATTTTATATTAACTAGATCTTTATATACTTAAATTATTATACTACTTATTTATTTATAAGTAATATACTAATACCTTTTTACTATTATTTAGTTTATAGCTTAAAGACCTAGTATTAGAAAAACAGATTTCCTCTTAAATATTAATATATATAACCTAGCTAAGTAAAGAGTTATTATAGGCTTATTAAAGATTAAAAATAAAAGGGTCTAGATAGTTTAAAAGTATAAGGATAGGTTTTTATATATAAAGCATAATATATAGTTTATATAGTAAATAACTTAATTTTTATATTTATATTAAAATAAATATTACTAACTTATACTTTACTACTTTATTAAAATTTATTAAGAAGACTTATATTTATATTTTATTAATAAACTTTACTATAAATTATAAAATTTTATAATCTCCTTTAAGTAAGTAAACAGGTGTATTATTACTAAAATAGATAATACTATTAAATACTATACTAAGTAAAAAAATTATGCTATATATATATAATAAGGGGATACTGCTTTTAAAATAAAATAATTAATAACACTTATTATAATTACTACTTAATATATTCTTTATAAAGTTATTATCCTTATATACTACTTCTGCACTTTATTATACTTTATTATTTTATTTATTACTAAATTACTTCTCTAATTATAATTATAGCTTTTATATTACTATATTATTACCCCCCTAGCCTATTTTAATGCCTAGACTATTAGTAGCTATTAATAATAAAAACCTTATCCTTTAAAAAGAAGATAGCAGCTAAAGAATAATAGCATTAAGTATAATTAATAATCTTAATAGCATATCCTTTTAATAAGCCACTATATATTATATAAAATTTAAAGGTATTAATTAGGTTAAACCTAGTATTATAAAAGAGAACTATATCCTTATATAAGGTTTACTTACTAATAAATTATAAACTATACTTTAATAGCTATTTATTTAGTAATTTATGCCTTAAGTGCTATAATTATAACTTATTACTAGTTCTTAAGCATTTCCTATATATATATATATACTATATATATTAGCTTATTATTTTTATAATCTCCTATATTTAAATACTACTAACTTAAGATTATATAATAGAACCTATTAATATTCTTATATAATAATATTATAAGCTATATTTATATAATTAATACTAAATTAAGTATAACTAAATAAGTATCTTTTACTTATAGCTATCCCTATTTACTAAATAATTATAAATATAAATATATAAACAGTTTAATAAAGTAAAACCTATAGTAAATAAAAAAACTACCTTTTTAAATTTATAAAATAGACTTAGTAAGGTTTTAATAGTTAAGAATATAAATATATAGGTAAGTATCTCTGCCTATTTATTTATATATATATATTACTATATTAGCTAACTTATAAGTAAATATTATAAAAAAGCATTTTTTAAATTATTTTATAATAAATCTTTTATACTAGTTAGTAATAAACTATTACTATTTTACTAAACTATCTTTACCTAGCTTTTAAAATAATACTACTACTATATTATAAATAGTAAAACTCTCCCTTATATACACTCTTTAAATAATTACTAATAATATTAGTAAATCTTACTATTTTAATACTGCTATATACTTTACTATAATATAAGTATAGTTTTTAGTATATTTATTTATATAACTTTTATATTTAGTAATATATTACTTACTTTACTTAATTAAAGCTAAAGATCCTTCTTATAGCTTAGCTATCCTTAAAGATCTTTTTTATAGCTTAGCTATTTATAAAAATCCTTCTTATAGCTTAGTTATTTATAAAGATCCTTCTTATAGCTTAACTATCCTTAATTTATTCTTTTTATAGCTTAGCTATTTTTAAAGGTCCTTCTTATAGCTTAGCTATCCCTAGTTTATTTTATTAACCTTACCTTAGCTAGACTAGATCCTAATAGTTACTATATTTTTAAATTTATTCTATTCTTATTAATAATAATATAAAATATATAGCTAACTGTTTTTTATATACCTAGGTAAGAGAAGGTTATAACTAAATTATATATTTACTATAAGTATATTTAAGTATAAATATATTTAGCTTTCTTTCTTTTTATAATTAAATGTTTTTTTTATATTTAAAAATAAATAAAAATACCTGCAGGCTACTTATAGGCTATATTACCTCCTTAATTATATAATATATACTTAGTAAAAGAGCGCCTTTAATTATTTATAAATATAAGTAGTATAAAAGCATATGCTTATAAATAGGTATATTATTTACTATTTAAAAGCTATATATTATAAAATTATATACTTTTTAAATCCTTTTAAGATTATTTTTAATATTTATATAAAGAATACTAAAATATCTTATTATAATTATAAATCTTAGCTTTATTAATACCTTTAATATACCTTATAGTATATTTATAAATATTATTAAAAATTCTAATTAGCCTAGTAAGCTATTATAATATTAATAATTACTATATATACTTTTTACTAAAGTAAGGAAGGATAATATTATATTAATATTATAAAAGGCATTAGCAGTTAATTAAGCAAGATATATTATATATAAAAGAGAAGGTAGCTAGTATATTACTTATATAAAGGGAATAAAGATAGGAAGTGTAAATAAATTAGGCTTTTATAATAAATCTTAAGTTAAAAGATAAATTACTATATATAAGATAATTACCTTTAAATATGCATTTTTATAATAATAGCAGTTACTTATAATTAATATTATAGTAAATTAATATACTAATAAATATATTTATATTTACTATATAAATAATATTAAAATAAATATATAATTATTAAACTAAAAGTGCACTTTATAATAGATTTCTTTTATAATATAATTATAATTAAATATATCTTAATATAAAAAGGTAATATTTTAATAATATTTTTATCTTTTTAATATCTACTTATTTAAAAATAGTTAATATAAAATATATAAGCTATTAATACTAGGTTTTTAAGACAGCAGGTTTATATAAATAGTAGATATTTAGTATTATAATAAAAATAGGTCTTATAATAGTAATACTAAATAATAGATATTTAATTTATTTAATAAATTATTAGTATAAATAAATATTTATTAAATCCTCTAGCTGTATTAAAATTTATATTTAAATATAACTTATTTTTTATATAAATAAGAATGCATTATAAAATCTATTTATATTAAGTAGACTTATAGTATAATTATTTTATTAATATATATTAAAGGAAGATTTATGCCTTCCCTTCTTATAGTAGGTCTGTTTTAAATATACTACTAATCGCATAGGTATATTTATTATGCTGGTATTAGCTGTACCTCTTAAAGAGATCCTTCTACTAGAGTCAATTACCTATTGAGTCGATTCTTAAGCAACGTCTTGAGATGCCTGAGAATCTTGAGGAATGAAGCCCTATACAAGTATGATGTTACCTGTCGTAAGAGACAAAAGCACTGTTTATCTGAAGTCCAGATGCATCTTCCCTTGCCTGCAGCTGGCTGGTACATGTAGCCGATCCAAAGACTGTGCTCCTTGGCGGTTGGGCTGCAGGGAGGACAGTGCGGGCGCTTAAAGATTGGAGCCGTCGAGCATGGACCAGATCTTCGCCCAGGCTTCTCCATATCCTTGGTGTGCATCTCTGTCATTGGGTCTTGTACTTCACTTTGCGGAGTCTACGGATGATGAGTCGGGAGCTGGGGAAATGAGCTTTTACGAGGACTTCCAGAATAGTAGCACGAATCGCAACAGGCTCAGGTATGAAGACGTGATTTTAGAGATGGGATCAAGCCTGTTGCTGTATTAATAATAAATATTCCTAATAAGCATTGACTTCGCTATACAAGTGCAACAAGCAAGCTACGATAAGAGACGAGGTAATTATCATGTCGAAAGCAATACGAAGTACGAGATGTCATCACTCAACAGGCTCCTCGTTCTCATATCGGATCTACCCCGAACTCCCAGCACTGTGGCCTTCATCAGCCATGGACCAGGGAATCCTGCCAGTTCACAACCCCGTTATTTCCATCCTATTTCGGACCTTTGCCGATTGACTTGGGCGGCCTGGATTCTGGACCCTACCCGAGCCGTATCTTCGGATACCTACGGTCAGTTTGCGTCCTTGCCCCGATTTCTTTAATGCTGCAGGGGGGGGCTGTTTCCCCTGATGCCTTAAACGCCTTCACGTGGCATGCGCCCCCCCCCCCCCCCCCCCCCCCGCGATCTCTAAGACATACTAACAGGTTCCTCTTCCTAGACATATCAACTGAGCATCGCAGCTGAGGCTTCTCTCGCGGGCTCTTGATGGCACAGCTTCGAGATTATTTGCTAATGTATGAGCTGTAGATGACGCTTAAAAAGGGTTTCGCACACTGCCACTAGAACTCAGTGCTAAATAGTGATTTTTTTCTTCTTTATGCGTCTAGCACTAAGGGACAGTGCATATAGGCCTGTGGGTTTACCTATTAGTTCCACCCTTTATAACTAACTGTTTAGACCTAGCCTTATAGTAAGGCCTAAAAACCCTATTCTACTTTAAAAATTATTTTATACTGCCGCTAGTTTAATAATATACTTATTTTATATATAAATATAAATAATAATATATAATTATTTATTTTAAAATATTAAAAAATTAATAATAGATTTTATAAATAAACTTCTTATTACTTTTAAGGCAGCTGCTACTATTTTATAAAATTATAATTACCTTTATTATAGCTATAAGCCTTTATTTATTTATACTACTGCTATTAAATTTAATATAAGCTATACTGCTATATAGTATATAATTTCCTTTTTAAAGGCCTTTAATTTTATTTTTTAATAGCCTAGCTAGCTATAATTACTTATAAATAAAAAAGATAAGGCCTTAATAGTATATATTATATAGCTTTAAAAAGAAGGCTTTTTAATAATTAAGGTCTAGCTTATTATTACTATTAATAATCTCTAGTACTAGTAAAACCCTTAAATACTAGATCTTTTAAAAAATTAATATAATTAATAGCTTTTAAACTATTTAAAGCTTTAAAAGTTATTTATTAAGGCTATTAATAAAGCCTAGAAGTTATTTAAAGTATTAAACCTTAAGAATTTTATAATTTTCTTTTAAAATTTAAAAGATTTTATTATAAAGTATAATATTAATGCCTTAAAGTTCTAGAATAAAAATAAGTATAGCACTTAGCTTAAATACCTTTATAAAACTATTCTTATAATTATTATTTATATATCCTAAGCCTAATAGCTATAAGTCTTTAATTTAAGTAACTATAAGTTTTATACCTTTTTTAGCTATATTAATACTGCTAGTAAGTTTATTTTATTATAAATAATTTTTAAAATATTTCTTATTAAATCTTAAGTAAAGATTAAGGCTAATTATAATATTTATTTTACTTACTTAAAGATAGGCTTTTTAAATATTAAGATTATATTAAAATAGCTTTATTATTTTAATTAAATCTTATAGCAGAAGTTAGCTAAGGCTTAAAAGTCTAGCTGCTTTTTTAAAAAGTAGTTTAGCTATATAATATAGCTTTAAGATCTTAAAAGACTATAAGCACTACTATTTAATATACTGCTAATTTAATAACTTAAAAAAAAGAAGATATATTATATTTTTATTATTAATAGCTTTATAAGCTATATAAGCCTTAACTTTATTAAATATTATATTAAATTTAATATTTTTATTATTTAAGATTTATTATATTTAACTTATATCCTTTAGCTACTTAATATTAGTATTTTCTAGCTATTTAAAGCTGCTTATTAAAAAATACTTTAAAAGTTACTTTTTAAAAAGAACCTAGCCTTTATAAAGCTAGATTTTTTAACTTTCTTTTAAGCTATATATAATAAGGGCTTTATAAAATATAATATTATATTTAAATATAAAAAAACTAGTTTTTTTTTCTTTTAATGCCTTATTAATACTAGCTAAAGTCTTTACTTAATAAGTAAAGTATTAATAAAGTATTAATTTAGTATTTTTATTATTACTACTTAAAGATATATATTTCTATTAGGCTTTAGCTTTAATTTACTATATTTATAAGAAATATAATAATTTTATAAGCTTATTAACTTATAAAGGTTTTTAATAAGCTAGCCTTATAGTTATAAAAGCTGCTATACTTAAAAAAAATATTAATAACTTTATAATTAATTAAAATTACTATATTAAGTTACTATTATACTGCAGGAAGTAAAGCAGCCTTATTTAACTAATTAAAGAATTTTATATTATTATTAATCTTAAATAAATTTAATAATAGAATTAGTAAGTAAGGAAGGCTAATAAGGCTAAAATAATAAAGGCCTAGCTTTATAAAGGCTGCTAGGTTATTAAGCTTAAGATTAAATAATTAAAAATATAATAGCAGGCTAATTATAAAGGACTTAGGCTATGCCTGCGCTCTGATTGGCTAGGAACTGGGCCTGTAACAGGCCCAGGTAGTGGCCATAGGAGTCACATATGCTAGCACGTAACAGGCCCGAGTCAGGCCTGGCACAGGCCTATATCAGGCCCTAACTCCTCCTATAAGTAGGTATACTAGAAGCGCATAACTTAAGGACTTGTTCCTTAAGTATATTAATTTAATAATAAATGCTTATTTAGCATTCTGCTTATAAGGCTGGTTTTATTATACTAATTATATAAAAAAGAAAGCAGCTAGGCTAAAAAGGATAATATTTAAGTCCTAGCTTAATTATATAAAAAAGAAGAATAAATTCTTTATTTTTAAAGTTTAAAATAAGGCATTTATTAAGCTTTTAGGCTATAAAAATAATATTTTTTTTATAAATATAACTAGATAATAATCTTAATATATTAAAAAAGTCTTTTAATAGGCTTTAATAAAGCTATAAATTTTAAAAAAGATATTAAAATGCTTTTAAGTAGTATTAACTAATAGCTTTATTAATATTATAATAAGGCCTTTTAATAATACTAATAATAAGAATTTAAAAGCTATATAAAAAGAAATATAAAAGGCTATATAAGAAAAGATATAAATTATAATACTAAATAAGGCTAGTAATAATAAGGCTAGCAGTAACTATAACCTTTTTACCCTTCTTAATAATAATAGTAATAATAATACCCTCCTTAACTTACTGCCTTTACTAACCTTAGCTAAGACTAAAATATTATATAAAAAGATTATAAATATATTAGTAGACTTTAAGACTTTAAGGGTATTATAAAAATACTAAATATAACTATTTTAACTATAAAAAAATGCTGTATTTATAATAAAAATTATAATTTTTATAAAATAGCTGTATTTCCTATATAAATTAGGTGGAATGATTTTTAGGGTGGAATAGGGTTTTTAGGCCTAACTGTAAGGCTAGGTCTAAACAGTTGGTTATGAAGGGTGGAACTAACAGGTAGCCGCAAACAGGGCGCATATCTGTCAGTTCCTGATGGTTGGGCTCCCTGTTCCCTGTGCTAGGCAACGACGAAGTAACACGGGATACTCTAGCACCGGCTTATGCTTTGTATTAGCGGAAGATCTGCCACACCAGGCAGAGCATCGGTTGTGGAGCTGCCTAAGCATTGGGGTGAAGATCCTAAAGACTCGGTTTGCAGTGGTTGGAGTAAGAAGTAATGAAACTTGATTGGATGGCGATGTTAACATTCCAGGTAAAAATGAGCAATGAGGGGACTGGAATAAACTGCGTTATAGATTCTCCATATGGTCTCTTGTCTCGCTGGATAGAATCCTTCCGCAAGGACACCAACAAACGGTAATCAGGAGCTGATCCCTGGTTACGCGGCACCGCTGCGGACAAGTGCCGGTGGTCATAAGACATGATGGATGAAGTGTTGGATGCAGGTACACACACATGCCAGGATAGCATCACACGGGATGTATGTTTCATACCAGAGCGTCTAGCGAGATGATCACTCCTATCACACATCAATTTGCAAGCATTGACACTTACACAACCAATACTACCATGTCTCCTTCAAGATACAAAGCTGTGCAACCCTCGATCAAAGCTGTTCAGACACTCCAAGGCCCGGTAACCGAGCTAGGAGCATCAAATGCCTGTATTAGCATTCTAAGGAGAAAACATCCGGGACCATCTATTCCTGATGTGGAATGACATGATGACAGCTGTGGCTTGCTGTTAGCTTATGCGCGCCTGCAGGATACTGGAGAGTCGACGAGCCGATGTCCTTGTTGAAAATCGAACAACTACAAGGATGGTGAGCACTTTGTTCAGATGGTGGTATATCACGATCCCAGAGACTATCTGATTGCGTATACCCTGGCCGTGAATGTTGGGTTGTGATTCAATCTCTGATGCAGTCTGCGTAAATGCACCTTGTATGCGGTTGGTCAGCCTTCTCCTGCTCCTGATCCTGTGATGCTCTAAATTCATGTAAGCTTGCGCTTTGCGCCACCACGCTATGCTTTGGAGCGGTGTGTTCGTGACTGATGCCAAATTCGAGCGATTGCTAAATCAACTCTGCCGAGCGTTTGGGCATCACAGGGATGGTTCCGCTGCCTACGGTAGGTAGGTTCGAGAGAGAGAAGCCTTGTAGAATTATGGTCATAGTCTTAGATGCTATCAGATAACCTTGAACCGAAGAATGTGATGCTTGGAAAGGTTTTACGGAAAGGGACTAATCAACTCCAGGAAACAGAACAGCATCATTCAGCTAAGAATCTTCATCCCCACGCATAAGGCGTGTCATGTCCCGTCTCTCCATCAAGGCCATGACTCAAGCCACCAAGCGCCATCGTGACAGCCTTCAGCCCACTGAAGCCCCCCCAGTCCCATCGATTCAAGCTTCTCTGAGCCCTACAGGGTTCTGGTTCAATGGGTAGTAGCCCGACCCATGAACTCTCATCCCATGCCAGCCCGAAGAAAAAAAAAAGGCCCGGGGTGCCCACCACCGACGAAGCTGGCCGTCAGATGCACCAGCACCAGCACCAGCACCAGGTTTATATTAGCCAGGGCCAGCGGCATCATTCCGAGCTTCAGAACGCGACACACTAACTGGGGGCTCCGCCGAAGCCCTGGGATTGGATCGGGAAGACAGAGCCCGCTGTCGAAAGGGGACGATCACAGCATGATTGGACTTGCATTTCGCGATTCTCAGAGGCTCAAGCTCGAACTCAACTCCCTTCTCCTCGGCCACTCGTCAGCCATGCCAGTGCCCACGGCCACTTCTAGCGGCTTCAAGGAGAGAATGATGACATACTAGCCGCCTCTGCGAAACGATTCTCTCACCAGCAACCGCGTGCCAGCAAATGGGCTCGTCCGGCCAGCAGCGCAGCGGCGCGACTAATGCCGCTCTAGATGAGAGCGCGCCGATAGCAGCCATAGGTGAGAGACGCTCTCTTTGATGTATATCGAGGAATAACCCGTGTCCCTCTGTCTGTCTGCAAATACCGCTTGACGAGCACGCGGCATGTTAGCTGGGGGTCAAGGACAATACAATGGGTTGCTGACTTGAGTCCCCGCAGCCTGCCTGGTCTGCAGATCGAGAAAGGTATGTACGCAGAGCCCAACGAAGCCTTGGCTAGCTGAGAAGAGCAGACTCAAGAGGCGTTGAGTTGCTCTAAACCTCGGCACGTTCTGTCCACCATGCTCCGTCAGGTTCTCATCCCATTATCTACCTTAGGTCAAATGCGACAAGACAATGCCCGAGTGCCGGAACTGCCTCCGCCTGGGTGTCGGATGTCCAGGCTTCAGTCCGCAGAGCGAGTTCATCTCCCGCAAGGAGATGCTGAAATCGGCAGACGACATCTTCAAGGCAGCCGGGGTGGAAAAGCGACGGGTTGGGTCCTGCGAGGAATGTCGGTCGTCCAAGCATCGCTGCACCAAGACTCGACCTTCATGCCGCCGCTGCATCTTGCGCCATCTGCCTTGCGTGTATCCCTCCAAGCCGGATAAGCAGCAAGAGCGTGAAGCCTCGACCCAGCCCGCCAGTTCTGTGGCAAGCTCGACAGCCGCTGCGGCGGGACTTACATCGACCACCACGGCTCAGCCCTTGGATGTTGGCCAATGGACGAATCCCGCACTGTTGCGTGCCTTTGGCGTCAACATTGAGAGGTAGGAGTATTCTGATACTCACCAGGGCCTCTCTATCCATCTACTGACATTGCTTCAAGTCTATGCTCAGATACTCTACCGAAAGATCACGGCCTTCGACTTCGTTTAGTGAATGCTTTCTTCGACCGGTCACACCACCTTCGCTGTGTCTCCTTTGTCCACCCCCCGTCTTTCATGCAGTCGCTCGAGTCAGCCAGCATAGCAGAAGATTATGGAGAGCCTTTGCTTTATGCCATGTGCGCTCTTGGTGCAAGGTAGGTGACTTCTTGCAGTGTAAACGAATAATGCATTTGGATCACGACAAGAGGGTTCTAACTCGCCTGTGACTGCAGGCATATCTACTTTGATGCGACGCTTGCTCTTGATGGACCCGATCGCGACTCACTTCCGAGCATAGTTCCTGGCCAGGCCTGGGCTGAAAGGGCGAGAAAGGAGATACTCGGGGAGATGCATGCTCCAACAGTGCAGAATCTCATGGTGGGTTTCCGTCAAGCTTGGTCACCTGTTATCCATCTAACGAAACTCGTCTTGCAGGCCGGTGCCCTTCTCTGCGAGTATGGTCTTCGGGAGGACCAGCACGCTCTGGTCTTCATCATGCTGGCCTTTCTGCACCGAGCCATAAGACTACTCAGCCTCGATGCGCCACGACCTCTTCCCAGCCTCTGTACAACCGCCCAGATGATGCAAAGAGAAGTAGAGAACCGCATCGTTTGGGCCTGCTTTCTCATCGACAGCCTTGCTGCGAATGGCGTGGAGAAAAACATGTGCTGGAAGGACAACGTGCCGAACATTCCCCTCCCCTGTTCCGACGACTGCTTCAATACCTCTCAAGTCCCCTCAACCCCACACTATCTTTCACAGATTGAAGATTCGGCAATGCATACTGTAATTGCAGATCTCGATCTGGCAGCGCTCTTGGTTGTAGTTGTGCGTTTGAGGACCAAAGTCATGCAGTGAGCTTTCCCCTTTCTTGTTCAAGTCTGTTTCCTGCTAACGATGACCCCGTAGGCTGATTCGAGTTGCTGACCCCAACATGCATATTTGGGAGCCATCGTCCGAGTTTGTCAGAATCATTGATCAACTCATGGCACTCTACAACAACCTGCCGGAGAGGTATTATCTGACGGACGCCAACTTATATGTGCTCCAAGACAAGGGCATGCTTGGGGCCGTGTTTGCACTTCACCTCTTCATCCATGCCGTCATCTTCGATCTCACTCGCATCTCGCTCGCGGGCTTCAGTTTCCCTTTGGCGCCCGCCTTCAAGCACGCGCCCTCCGAGTTTCGCGCGCACTGCCAAAGTCTGTGCCGTTTCCATGCGAGCCGGGTTTCAGATATCATCCGGACTGGCATCAGTTTCAGCCCAAACGCGTTCGACGACCTTTTCTGTCCCGACGCGACTATCGAATCGACCAAGGTGCAGATCATCTACGCGGCTACTGTGGACCAGTCGCCCCAGACTTTGCAGGTTACAAGGGACAATATCATCACGAACCTGAACTTTCTCTTGAGCATTCACAATCGGGGAAAGGAGGCTCCCACCCAGTTTGTGAGATTAGATCGGGTCGGTAGAGTGCTCACTATGCGGTTGCTAACAGATGACAACTAGATTCGGGCCATTATTCCACTTTGTCATCTCTTTGGCTTCCAAGATATCGCTGAAAGATATCAGGAAACACTCGGGTTTGTTCCGCTGCCCAACAAACAATAATGTGCACTGTTGACTGACAAGTAGCCTTAGCATACCCATCGATCCGGCCGAAGTCACTGGATCCTCCGACGTCCACCACCTTTCAGCATCAGCCTCCTTCCGAAGAGGAAGACTGCAGCTCCAAGAATTACAGTCCAAGACCGGTGGCAAAGCGATATCATCCGGGAACGATGCCAAATCGCCCCTGATCCAAGCAACCCAGAGCATCTTCTACGAGGAGCCGATAGACAAAGGCGTCAGCAATGACTATGCAAGCTCTCTGCCACTCCTCAGGCCAGGCTACTCTCCGTTTGAAGTGGCCCCTGAACTCCTAAGCCAGACACTGGCTCAGAGGAACTCCCTCCAAGCTATGCCGCCCGCAGACGACATGGTTCAGAGTGGAGGCCTGTTGCAGCCCTCAGTAGACGACTACATCAAGACGGCGGATGAAATGTCGACATTCTTGACCTGGGGCATGCCGGATATGCCCCAGTGGATTAATCTCGCCGATCAAATGCCGCCTGGATGAGGATTGTTTCAAATTCTGTGTATTCGAACCTCACATACAAGATACCGCGCTCCATGCATGGCTTGATTAATACTACTCCGACCCGGCCTTCTGCTGCAGGTATGCGAGGGGAAAGTTGAGTCACCACAGCTGGCTCCCCCTATCGCGACAAAGTAGAGAAGTTCTGGGGCTCGACTGCCTGGGGATTGTCACCCATTGCGTGTCTGAAGACCTGCCCACGATCGGCATGCAGACAAGGCAGTGCAGGCGACACACACACCTTATCCAAACTCAACTCATAAACACCTCTGCCATGTTCGGCTCTCAACCACAGTCTTGCTAAGCAAGACTCAGACTCAGGGCCTTGGGTACCGAATCAGCAAGTTCCTCCAACAGGTACATAGGTCTCGACTGACGGGCGAATACGTATCAAGACTGCTGTCATTTGCAATACAAGCGCAATATGGGCGAGATTGTAAATGAGGATCAACAAGAATGCAGTTTTGATTTCAAAGCCCGTATCGCAGATGGTCGCACTCGGCCTGGGCCAGTAGGTCTCTCTCAAACTTGTGCACCAGAGATGATCCTCTGGCTTTAGCAGGCTAAGCAGCAGGATTGGACTCTCGTGAGACCTATTGTTGCTCTTGAGCGTTGAAAATCCGCTCCTCTGGCCCCCCCCTGAGTTTCAGAGGCGGTAATTTGAGATCATTGAATATATTTTCTCTAAACCTGACAATTGGATGGTGTCCACTGCGTGTGAATGCAATGTAGCAGGTCAGTCTAGAATTTTTTCTTTAGAATACCAAAGCTGTGTTGTGAAAGAGAATTTATATTCAACATGTACTTGTATCGAGTATGACTGCGAATAGTCACAGAAGAGAAATTTATGGTACCAGAAACTGCACAAAGAATCTAAATGTTGACTTGACGTAGCCTTCCTGTATGTACTTGAGGATACAATCATCTATCATTACGAGTGTAGGTGTTGACAATGGTGGATTTGGTATTTAGCATTCGTTTCGCACCATGTTCCGCCTCCCCATCTCTTACCCCTTTTCACAAAGACGACTCCAGAAACTCGAAGATGGAATCGTACGCAGACTTGGCCGAATAGCCCAAGTTCAAGCCGTGGCCACCGTTGGGAACGACCACCGAGTTAAAGGTGGCGTTGGGGAAGAAGGGCTTGGAGGCGGCAATGAGGTCAGGATAAGCCCCCTGGATGGCAGTAGTGTCGGTGCAATTGCCGCCGCAGAAGGGAAGGTCGCGATCTGAAAATTAAAGTCAATTAGATGCTCTGGCGGCTTATTCTGTTCTGGACAAGCCGAAGACGGGAATCCAGGTACAAGTACTCACCTCCCGTGATGACGAGAATCTTGCCACTAAAGGCATTGGTGTTGGCGCTGCCGGCCCCGATGGTGAGAATCTCGCCGGGGGCAGCGGGCTGGCCATGAGCAGTCGCATACGAGAGCATCTTGGGATCAAAGTCGCCGGGGGCAAAGAACTGAATGTTCATTCCAATAGTGGTGTCCACGCCAACATATCCAGCCGGGTACGAGCGCGCCAGCGAAGAGATCTCCTTGATGGGCTTGAAGTTGCCGCCGAGGGCGAAGCCGACAATGTAGTTTGGCACCTGGCTGTAGCCCGTGAGGACGGCGGCGTCGCTGAAGTCGGGGTTCTGGTTGATGAAGTTGTACGTCATGGCCGAGCCGAAGGAGTGGCCGACGTGCACAAACTTGTCAAACTTGGCGTCGACGCCCTTGACGGAGCCGCTGCGGAGGAGCGCGGAGAGCTCGGTGAGGGCGGCGACCTCGAGGAACTGCTGGATCTCGTTGACGGGGTCGCCCTTTGTGGAGCGGCCGATGCCGAGGCGGTCCCAGGAAAAGGTCGAGTAGCCGTGCTCGTCGACGGCGCGGGCGACGTAGCTGTACTCGTGGTTGTTGAAGGGGTAGTCCCAGTAGCTGCGGTCAAAGGCGGCGCCGTGGGTGAGGATCTGGAGGGTTGAGCCGGGGCCGTTGTCTGGTTGGCAGTAGGTTGCGGCGATGGTGTAGTGGCCGCTGATGGTGTTGTACTTTTGGGTTTTAAGTTCATTCATGTTAGTACTTTGCTTGTCGTTTTGTTTTCAGAGTTTTAAAAGGGGAGAGGGAGCATCAGTACCCCTTTCAGGTAGTTGTCGGTCATGTTGTAGCCGGGGCGGACAAAGTCGATGAAGAACTGGGTGACTTGGGCTTCTGTCACGGGGGCCGGGAGGCTGAAGACGGCGTTTCGGGAGGAGATGGAGATGGGGATGGTCAGGTCGTGGCATTTGCGTGCTGCGACGGCCGTGGCCAGAGCCAGGAGGGCTGCCGATGCCAACATGATGTCCTCTGAGTGGTTCTTTGGGAAGTGAAAGAGAAGGCTGCTTCTGGACTCTACGAGGTGTGATGTCGATGGACGGGCTCTATAGCTTGGGTTCTTGGGACAGCAGGCAGACTTATATATCCATCATGGCGATGAAGTTGCTACGAAGCCTTCTTCATTGTCTTCGTATACGAACTATCACCCGCTTCGGCGCGGCACCTATTCATTGCCCGTTGGCCATGTGCTGTCTTCTTCTTCCTCCATGGATCTCTTGCTCTCTTTGCGGTCCACATATGGCAGGCCTCGGGGAGAGTCGTTGCTTGATTGCTGTGCTGGTTGTGGTAAGTCTCCCGCTCGCCAGCCCATGTCCACGTGCAGAGTGGTATACGCTTGAGCCGTTCAGGGGCGGGATCCTACGACAACGGCTCTTTGCACAACTTGGTAATGGACTCAGCAGCTTTGAACCCCCTGAGGCTGAGCTGTTTTGAAAGGACGAAGGCATCTGTCAGCAAGAGTTGATGGGCGAGCATCTTTGTCTATTCTCTCGGCTGCCGGGCATCCAACATGCAGCTGCGCCGTAGAAGTCGCAGGGTTTCTTGCATGAATTTGCCCGCGGATTGACGTTTGCCTCTGCTGAAGCTTGTCGTTTGCTGCGCTTCCATCCGAGTTCGTCCGTCGCTTCGGCCTCCGGCGATGGGTAGCTGGTTCGGCCGGACGTCGCTGTCGCTGTCGCCATACCCTCCGCGGCACACAAAGGATCTGCTGGGTTGAAGGAGGTGAGTATGTAAAGCCCAACCGCGGAGCAGCGTGACTCGCCAGTTGGAAAGAAAAATTCCAAATTTCTCGAATACGCTTCTGGTTCATGGAGGATCCATCTTTGACCCTTGTTCAACTGATTTGGAATTCCGAGTAAGCTGCTTCATACATGATATGTAATTGCGGATTCTTACTACTAGTGCATTTGTCACTTCATACAATTGTCGGGAGCAGCAATCGACAAGTTTGCAGTTTTATTCTGTGCAAAGATCTTTATAAGATGAATTGGCCGTTTTTGTAATTTGTGCTGCCCTGCTTTATCTCGCTATACTTGGTCAACATGACACTCTTCTAGATACAGGGTGAACGAATCGAAATCTTCAACATAGATGCGAGCCAGAGGTAACGGCAGTCATAGGTCGAGACCTGATTGCCTACAGTGTCATATCGAGACGGAGAGACAACAGAGCTGCCATGATGTCTTGACGGGGATTTGTCGTATCAATGAAGCCTTGCACCAGTATCGATATGTCCATCTCCTTCTGGGTACATAGTCCATATTAGAAGAAAGGGCTGATACGCGTTTTGCATAGCATATTTGGCCCAAACCTGCAAAATGGATAGTGGGCTCTCAGGCACACAGCCAGCCTTGTCTCAACCGACATCTCCGAAGATTGGTGCGTATTCAAAATGCGTTTAGTATCCTGGCGTAATCCTCCCACGTTGACCCAACTCAAGCCACAGACGGTTGGCGCCGGAGGCGTTGGCAGTTCATATCTCAGGAGTCGTCATATTCTTAACCCAACTACCCGTGCTGTAAGTCATTTGTCGGCACAATTTCGCCGTCATTATCGGTTGCTACAGATCAATTCTGTTCTCATAGATGATTGCATGCTTCGGCGCCCTTGGATGTTCGATGGTATATGTAGTAAGACAATACGAATATGTAAACTACAGACATAGACTTGAACGCGGCTTCTCTCTGAACAGCAAGAAGAACAGTCAATTATAGCTTCTTGTACTTAGGAAATACAAGAAGTCTACCGATGTGTCATGATGCCTTCACTTCGACTTGCATTGCGCCGTTTTGAAGAAATATTCATTCTTTTGTCGATTGACATCCCTCATATGGTAGGAATGCTTGAGGGACCGTCGCTGTTCTTACGGTACATGTCAGTAATTCTCATAGAGTCCTCCTATTTGAACCGTAGCATATTCCTATTTGAACCGTAGTGGTCTGTGCAATAGCTAGAGAGACACCCTCAAGTAGTAAGGCCCACGCCCATACAGCAAAATACAGTGTAGCACACTAGCGGTCAGTACTATTAGAGATATCACCAGGAGAAGGGCATAAGGGGACAGCAGCGGCATCAGCTTCTAAACCGTCGCCAGGTAGTCATAATCTCTGCGTAGCTGGCTGCGATCTGGAACCTATAGACGACTGTAAGGAGGCCCTGCTGCTGCTGCCTCTCTTGCTGCCTCTGCTGCTGCCTCTGCTGCTGCCTCTGCTGCTGCCTCTGCTGCTGCCTCTGCTGCTGCCTCTGCTGCTGCCTCTGCTGCTGCCTCTACTGCTGCTGCGGCCACCTCCTTACATGTAGTTATGTGGCGATTTCAAGCGCTGCTGTTGATCTCTCGCTGTAATAAGATGGTCAGCTGTGATAAGGTCGGCTCTAAGGACAGCTGTGATAGTTGAATATAGAAGCCGCGGCCTTGTTATGTGAAGACAAGCCTGCTATTAGCTCACACTGTAAGCGGGTGTGTAGTGATGGGCTTAATGGTGTGTGCACAGGAATTTTACCCTGTGCACAGACCACTACGGTTCAAATAGAGATATGCTACGGTTCAAATAGGAGGACTCTTCTCATATTCACAGGAGACGAGTTATAATGATTAGCTTACCGATTGCTGAAGATGAGTCCTCAGGTCATTCAAGACCCTCAACTGATCCTGAGTCGCCACATAATTGATCCTAAAGTCCGTGTCGCTCAAGGCGAGTTGATTATACAACTGCAGCGCACTGACGGCAGTCCCCGTACGCCCATGTCCAAAGCCGGAATATATCAAGGTGACCGTCTGGCGGTTGTACATGTCCCAAAGCTCGCGCAACTGGTCCAGGGTCGGGGCGCAGAATTCCGTCACAGGGACGTGGTGGTATGTCATGCGATACCCCTGCAGTCGCGTCGTTGCCGCCGCGGGCAAGGGACAGGCGTTCAGACTGATGACGCTGGTGATGCCCTGGCTCGTCAAATATTCAAGGGCTTCTGCGTCCATGTTCTGATCAAGGTCGCTGCCCCTGTAGTGAGGAGCTGAAGACCGCGCAAGACGACCAGGAATCACCCAGCGGAAATTCTGGAACGGGCCAGTCTCGCACTTGTGAAGGCCAATGGGCTGCGCAAATTTCGTAGTTTTAGCCATGTATGGCCCGCCCGAGTCCACGAAGCGCCTGACGTGGGAGAGTCTTCCCCCAACGGGGACCGTCAGTTCGTAGCCGCCGGTGGTCAACTTGGTGAAGATGAGACACTCCAGGGCGCCCTGATTACGCGCGGAGGCGCCCATGTTCTCATACTTGACTCCCCCGAGAAACCCACCAGTGGCTTGATTCTTGAATGCGAATCGGTTGTTGCCATCCCGGACGCACTTCCACATTTGAGAACGTTTGTTTGTGTAAGTCCTCAGTCGTAGGTCTATACCTTCTGCCGTAAAGACTTCGTCGGTGCCGTAGAGGCTGATGAAGAAGTCTTGGTCGACTTCAAGACAGTCATCGCCCAGGCCGGGAAGAGGCATATTGACGTGTTTGTTACAAGATCTCTTGGGTAGGGTCTGGGCGAGGAGAAAAGTGTAGACTTGGATATCAGTCAAGGTCAACCGTGAGGATTTTTGGCGGTTTTGGCTTTTGAACTATTCGACTGAAGAGTGGTTGGGCATCTATACATGTTGGGCATTTGATATTTTCACCTTTGGGCTGCTAAGCATTCAGGCATCTCGACATACATGAGGTAACCAACAACATATCACAATCCTCTGTACCTCAGAATCCCCGATAAACATTCACCATAAATACAAAGGACCCATCCACGGACACGGACATGCCCAAATCAACAGTCAGCGACCATTGCCCACCCCTCCTCGACGGCAATCTCACCATCGGAATCATAGTCATAACATATAAAGACGAGGTGTCAGCTCAACCGACCCATGCACCCTGGTCTGACCCGACCCATGGTCCTGAAATTGGTGGTAAAAAAAAGTTCACCCGACCTATGCTCTTTATAGTGTGATTAGTTAGACTTAGGTTTTTATGGAGCATGGGTAGCCTGAGGTCTTATATTAATGTATTAGAAATGCATTAAAAATGCATTAATAACATATTATTTAAAGTGATTTATTAATAAATAAGGTTAGTAGTTAGGGTTAGTGGTTAGTGGTTAGGGTTAGTAGTTAATTTAGGGTTAATATAGTATATTTTATAATAAAGTAATAAAATGTATTAATGCATTAGAAATCTATTAGAAATGTATTAGGAATATACTTTATTTCCTTATAAAAGTTCACCTGACCTATGGGTTAGCTTCTTATAGCTATGATTGGCTGTAGCACTCTTTTAGTGGAGCATGGGTCGGGTCAGACCAGGGTGCATGGGTCGGTTGATGTGCCACCTCTATAAAGACTGACAATCTTGATAGTACAGCGATGAGTACCTACGCTCGGGTTGTACAATGGTCACTACGATCAAAACCCACAGCCAAGCCTCCAGACAGCCCCGTCCATCCACCTCGGCTTGTACAGCTCCTCAGCCCCCAAAAAACTCTTTAACCTCCTCCGGAGCCTCTCAATTTCCACACATCGATCGGTAGTGTCTATACATCACTAAACTTATAACAGTAACACTCGTCCCCCATAGCATCAACGGATAATCTAGACTTACTGTCATATATATTTCTCTTCCAGCAGTTGTACCTTTCTTTCTCTCTCTTTAAATCTCTTCTACCTCTACACCTTGCCTTTCTATCTGCATCTCTTTCTCTACACCTTGCCTTTCTCTCTGCATCTCTTCCTCCTATACCTGGTGTTATTTCTGCATTGCTCCCGTCCCTCTTATACCTTATCTTTCCCCCTGCGCCTCGTAAAAAGTATACAGGTAGGCAAGGAGAACCTCCAGCTACTTGCCAATGCCTTAGTGTAAATCCTGGCTGTAGACAGGATACCTACCTTACTATTGAGATGAAGTAAGTAGCGAGCAAACGTTCTTACTATGGGGGCAAGCCTTATCATGATAGGTTCAGTAATGTGTGAAAACTACCGATTGATGTTTGGAAATTGAGAGGCTGCTCCGTATGCCGTACACTTCCATCAAGATGCCAACATAATAGCGACACAGAGTCTTGTCTAAGACACCCCGACTCTCCGTCATGTCACACGGTAAGCACATTCATCTCCGACCAGCCACACAAACGGAGTTGAATCGAGATTAGGGCCGCTTTTGGATGCTTACCTAGGTACTAGTATTACGGAAACCCCTCTGGCACGAGAAATCAAGTCAGTCACGAAGAAATGGTAGTTGTTATGGTAGAAAACAAGTGCAGATTGTGTGCGAATCACCCTTCGGCGACAGTAAACCAGACTACTGAACCAAACCCCTAGCTAATAACTCATTATCCCTTTAAGGTCGGTAAGGCACGTCCTTCGTATTTATAAATTAATTATAGCTAATTAAACGCCTGGAAATTAAAGATATATAAAATCACACCTAAATTAGCTAGTAATAAAAGTACTAGTAATCTAGGCCTATATAAATAGCTATATTATAACTATTATATTACTAATTTATTATAGCACCCTGCGCTTTTAAAACTTTTATTTACTATAATTATAACTAAATTTTACTAATATATTAGCCCTTATAGCTAGTATAAAATGCCTATTTCTTATAATAAATATACTTATATTATAAAATAAATATATAAATATCTTTAGCCTAAAACCTTTATTTAAAAAAGCCCTTTTAGCTATATACTTAAAAAATCTTACTGTAAATATATATATACTACTTAACTTAGCCTATAATAACCTTCTAGCTAGGCTTCCCTTATTATTATAGTTTATAGCTATTAATAAAGTAAATATTAAAAAAAAAAGACTATATTAATGCCTACTAACCTCCCTTATAAAATTAATAATTATATCTTAAACTGCTTTTTAGCTAGTTATTAATATTAATAAACCTTATTTTAGAATTAGAAGCTCTTTCCTCTTTTTATTATTAAAAATAAGCTTAATAAGCTATATATATAGCTATAAGGCTTTTAGCTATTTATAATTATAATAATAAAATTTATTACCTTTATATACTATTATAAAAAAAAGAATAAAAAAGTTATTTTTTTATATAATTTAATTAACTTAAAAGTATTTAAGATAGATTAATATATATTTTTTTAAGATATTTATTTTAAGGCATTTTAACTTTATTATTTTTAGTAGCTTTTATAATAAGCTATTTTTAAGGCTAGCACTTTCCCTTTTAATTATTATTTTTTATAATAATAAAGCTTTTTAAAGTATAATAATTTAACTATAGGGTGCCTATTATAGCATGCCTTTAATTATAAAAAAGGCAGAAAAAGGTTAGTATAAAAAAGAGGTTATTTATAAAAATATAATAGCTAGCCTTTTTTAGCTAATTTACTAAGAAAAAGACTATAGCTTATATTAGCGCTAATATATTAATGCCTTTAGCGCCTCTTTTATATTTTTAAAGAATTATAAAAAAAGGGATATAGAATTCTTACTAAAGGAAATAGCTAGCTTAAGCTATAACCTAAGCCTTAAAGCTAATTAAAATAAGCTTACTATAAATAAGTATTATTTTTTAGAATTTTTTTATATAATAAATTATATACTTATTTATAGTTATATTTATACTAGGCTTTTAAAAGGTAATAAATATAGCTTATATATATATAAACTACTTTTAAATATATTAAAAGCTTTTACTAGCCTTATTTATAATTATTAATAGGTTAAAAATATATATTTAATATAAAATCTGCTAAAAATAGTTATATAATATTTTATTAACAGTTGGATTATATACCTCTAAACACCACCTCGCCTTAGCTAAACTGTCTTACAGGGAATCCATTTCTTAATAAACTGTCAGGACTGCTATGCATAAATAAGTCAAGATACTATTTAATTATGCAGAGACTAAGCTGTTTTAGCTTAGTTAAGCACTCTAAGGGCTTATGTCTTAGGGACTAACTTGCTTAATTTACTACCTAGGTTAAGGAGCGTCTCCTTTCTTATATATTACTATTACTATTCCTAGCTTAGTTAGCCTTATTATTCCTTATTAGTTATTACCTCCCTGGCCTGCGTTTCTTAGGCTATAAAATATAAATTTAATAAAATTATATATTAGCTATAAGGCATTTATTAAGGAAGTCTTTTAATAGTCTTATAATGTAATTTCTTTATAAATTCTTATATAAATTAGTATACTAACTTATAAATATACTTTATTAATAAAAACTAGGCTTTATTATAGCAGCAGGCCTTAAATGCCTAGCAGCTAGGCTTTATTAATATATTTTACTTATTAAGTTACTAGTAAAATAGGTAGAAAGTGTTAAAAGAGAGATAAAGATATAGCAGGCAGAGGCTTAATTTTAAGATTATATTACTTAACCTATAATAAAATAAAATTATTATTTATTATAGCTATAGCTAGATATAGTAATTAAAATAAAGCTATTATTAAATTTGCATTTTTAAGGTTATAAGCACTTTTAAGGTTTTTTTTTAGGTTTTTTTTACTTATTTTTTTATTTATTAGAATGTATTTTAAGATAAAATTATATATATTTTTAATAGAACTTTATCTATTAGGACCTCTGTTACAATTGCGTACCGCGTTACTAATAAAGACGATGTGGGGCCTAGTATGAGGGACATGCCTTACCGACCTTAAAGGGATCATCTAAGCGAAAAGAACACATCGTCACCCTGCCCACGCCGGGGACGCAAGTCTGGCGTCGTGGATCGGCTGGTACACCACTCGCTATGCTGGTTGTAGTATACAATCTAACCCAATCCCAGGTATCCCGTCCATCCTAAAAGACTCAAAGAAAACGCCAAAAGAAAGCAAGTCATGCCAGGTCTGTGTGATGAACCAGTCTGAGGTGAGGCTCTCCCACCTGTCGAGTGTCCAAATCCCGGCGGAGCACGGGGGGATTCCAAAGCAGACCTGCTACAAGTCAATCAACCCAGCATGATCCAAGTCTCTGACGCGTTGTTTGCGCTCTCGACAATCTCCGTTTGGGATGGCACCTCATCATCAAGCTCGTGATCGGTGAAGCAGTCGTAGTCAGAAAGACTGTCATCGTGCATCAGATCCGGGAGCTGAGACGTCTCAACGTCAAAGCTGGGGTTTGACGAGTTCTGCCCGTAGACGACGCGAAGAGGAGGGAAGGCATCGTTGGCCGCTGAATCATCGGCAGATGCGCAACCTGTTGAGGCCTTTGCCGAGGCGCTGCAGTCACCGAGGTCGGTGTAAGAGAGGACAAGAGCAGGCTTGGAGGCCTTTTTGGACTTGCGGCCACGCTTTGCAGGACGAATGGTATACACGGGCTCCTCATGCTGGATGCTGTTGAGGTTGAAGGCTTCCTCAGGATGCTGCTCATCACCATCATACAGCAGGCCCTTGTGGTACAGCTCTGCGATCTGCGCGTCCTCGCTCTTGGGGGCAGCCCGTGTCTGGACCTTGCCCTTCGCGGTGCTCGCAACGCGGAAAGCATCCTCCCGTTCGAAGCTGGGTCGCCTCACAAGGCGAGAGGCATCACTAGGGAGCGCGATAGCGCTGCGAGCGAGGTCTCGACCCTCTTCCTCTTCGTTACGAGGTGATACCGCGGGGGCGCGGGTTCCACGCTTGCGCTGCTGCTCGCGCGAAGCGGTGATGACAGCGTGAAGATCACGCTCGACGTGCGCTCGGAGAGGCCGGGGGTCCTCGGAAGAGGATCCGTCCTTTCGCCGGGCCTGCCAGGCACCGGAGAGGCAATGGTAGCTTGGCCACTGCTGGTAGGAGAATTGTTGATAGATGGCGTGGTTCTTAGACTCTATCAAGCGCTTCGCTGTAGACCTGACAAGGTAGTTGGTGCCACGGCGCCGAAGGACTGCGCGCTTGGATTGGGCATGACGACGCTTGACGGCAGGGGAGGAAAGGGAGCTGTGGTCCATGACATCCATGATGGCTTGTATAGGTATACGGCTGATGTAGAGTAGATCTGGGGAGGGACGCTTCGTAGCTGATCGGATGGTACTAGAAGATGGTGGAAGACGAAGATATCGAAGATGATTGACGAGTATAGGGCGTGAGGAGAGGTGATGGACTGTTGAAAGGGGCGGCATGTCAGTCGAGATGAGAAAGACTAATACGGTTCCAGGCAGGCGGATCGCTTACCAGGGGAGCGTGCCGAGCACGAAGGGGTTACTCCTGCTTCAATGCTTGCCGGTAGACGCGCCGCAGTAACAAGTATTGGGTACGAAGCCGCGTTAGTCAAACGACAGGCCGTGGAGCAGTGACGCGGTGACGGATGGAGTCGTCACAGAAGGCGCAATCAATGGTATGTAGTATATAAGACGCGCCAAAGAAAGAAGCCTTTGTCGCCCCCAAGAGTGTGTGTGTAGAAGCAGCAAGCGAGCATCAGATAGAGAGGCTCTGGCGCGCACCCCCGGCCCAGCAGACGTCTTATATCAGTCCGAGGGCATCTTGTTTGCCTGCGCTCGGGGTCCGACTGGCACAATGGCGTGCTGATTGGGCGCGGAGGGAGTCATCTGGCCGGCTGCTGGACGAGCGCATGACGTGACTCACTCAAAGGGTTCTAATCCAAGGAGTGGCCGGGCTGGTGGCGCAGTTTGGGGTCAAAGAGCCTTGGGGCCGGCTGGGCTCGGGAAAAGGGGGCCTGTTGGCTGGAAGCGGCAGAGCGGAGGCCGACCGGCAAAGGACGAAGAAACGATAACGAGGTGCACAGTGCCTGGAGTTGTGCCTTGTCCTTGTGGCTGGTTTTAGGTATGCTGAGATAGGAGGTGAGAGAAGGTGTGGGCGATGAGGCAGAGGTGTGTCACCGGTAAGAAGGACGGGGGAGGGGGGCAGAATAGGAGGCAGGCGGCCGGAAGGGGAAAGCGGCGTGAGGCCTGCATTGCATGGGCAGTGCGGAGTGCAGACAGGGACAGGATACGGGGGTGGATACGGCTGAGGTACGAGCAGCTGTCCCACGTCATACTGGCCAGAGGTAGCGGTACTTGGAGTGAGTGGGGAATGATGGGGGGGAGAGGGCCTCAAGTGAGGTACCGCTACTTGCTATCGACAGCACGCAGGTACCGTGTCGGTGAAGCTGAAGTTCCCAGTTTGCGGCAGCGTCTGTGCCTAGGTACGACCTGTAATGGACAATGCGGATGTCGTCATGAACCAAGGACTAAGGTAGAGGTGGTAACACGTGTATTGCACGCCTTGGCTCGTCTTCGTTGGTCTCCTTCGCCGTTGGACAGGCCTCACTATGTGCAGGTTTGCTGTACAGTAAGGTAGGCATACAAACTTGCTTCAACATCATGACCAAGTCTTGCTAGGTAGGTAGCCTCTGCAAGAAGCAACACAGTAATATTGTAGTACTGCCTATTGCTTGTCTCATTGACTCCAAGCGCCGGACAGGTCATGGGTACAAAGGACAGCCGCAAGGCTCCCCCCGGCATCCTGAAGTGCTTCCCCGGAGGCCTAAAGTGGCCGCGGATGCGTTGGCCGACGCAGGACCTCCCATGTGGACAAACAGCCGCTTATCAGTCGCTTACTGCCATGGAATAGAGTCGCAAGCCGCCCCCCCTTGGTTATCTGTGGCTTGAACTTGCTATTACTACTAGTAGCACTCCCACGTCTTTCGTGTCTTGTCTCACGATTGGCACTCGGTTGGCGACACTTATCAAGGGGGGAGCCTCTCTTAGGTACCTAGGTAGTACTACCTAGGCTGCCTGTTGCCCCCCTAAAGGACAGTCAGTCATCCAGAGCGCACGGGACCAGACGCTCATCTCGATCCCGAGGCATTGCATCAAAAACGCCTTCCATGTGAATTTAAAACTGAGATGAGTATTATTTCGAGCAATCTATTCCGTAAGATTATTCAAGCCGTAACGACAGCTACAGGGGGGGCTCGAGACCGCTTCTTTGCCTAGGTACCTACATGTAATATATACTGTACGACTACCTAGGTATAGGCTAGTAGTGTGCTTGTAAGTGATAGTCTCCACGCCAATGATGCGAGCACACAAAGACGGAGAGCCGGTCCGGTATGTGCTTTCAGTCTCCGGCAAATGGTCTTGCTCTTTGTTTCAGTGGAAAATGCCCATCACGGGGCAGACCGGAATTGAGGAAATGTCGATGGCAGGATTGTGTCTGATGGGATGTATGTACGTGTACCTACATGCTGAGATGCCGAGCACAGTACAATCAAGTTGGGTGCAGCGGATGGGATACTGTGTGTATGTAGGTATGCAGGCTGCCGCTTCGTATTCTTATTTACATGGTTTGCTCGTATCAAAGTCCTATTACCGATGGCAGCAGCAGCAATAATATAAGATAATGCCTGATGAATTGCCCGACAACAGAGAGAGTCAATCAAATCATGCAGTGTGCCATCCATCAAGCAGTGCAGGATAGCAAAAGTGCATGCATTCTCGTCTCGTCCATTTCCAAAGTGCATGCATTCTCGTCTCGTCCATTTCCATCTCCATGCAAGCCATCAAAGGCAGGGTAGCATTGCTCCGTGGCTGATAAGGCATGCCGGCCTTTGTTTCGTTGCCTCTAGCATGATAGTAGACAATAAAGCAGAGATAGGCACGAGTCGTGACACATGAGAACCGATTGCAGAGACCAATCATACAAGTACATATCAATAGTACATACAGACGCGCTCCATCACTCCAGCTTCACGTCCATGGCCGCCAGATACGCCTTGACGTCCGTCATCTTGATTCCCCGCGCAGAGTTGACCGTCTTGTCCTGGTCCCAGGCCACCCCCTTCCCCTGTGCAAAGGTATCCCTGTACTTGACATAGCCATTGTTCGGGTCCTCGCGCATCTGCCTGGCCAACTCCTCCGCGTCCCAGAGCTCGCGGCAGAACTTGATGCCAAAGCGTTCGTCGAGAAGGTCGGCCAGCTGCCGGTACGTGAGGGTGTCGCCGGCGACATAGACGCACTGGTTCCTGAGGCCCTGAGAATCCAGCACCAGCTCGGCCGTGACGCGGCCAATGTCGTCGGGGGTCGTCAGCGTGATGCGGTTGTCCCACGAGCCGAGGGCGCGCACCGTCCTGGAGGCGAGGTCGACGACGCCGAAGTCGGGCACGAAGAGGAAGCTCATGAAGAGGCCCGTCGACACAATCAGCCAGTCCGTGGCGTCCTGGGCGCGCAGCATGCCGCGCACCAGCAGCTGCTCGTCAAACAGGTCCTGCGAGCTGCCCGGGCCGATGGCGTCGTAGTCCATGCCGAACTGCCAGGGGAAGTAGCGCGGCAGCCTCGCCTCGAGCGCAGCCTCGCACAGCTTGGTCTGCGTGCCCGGCGGCAGGCCCATGCCGTTGCACGAGACGACGGTGTCGTACTTGGCGAAGACGGCGGCGAGCTGCGAGACGGACGCCTGCACCACGTCGGCGGCCTCGAAGCGCACGTCGAGCGCCCTGATCTGCTGCACCAGCTTCTTCTTGTCGGGCGCGGCCGAGTCGAGCGACGCCTGGCGCATCAGGACGGTGATGCGGGCGTGGCTGCGCTTGGGGTGGCGCGACAGCGCCTGTAGCACGGCGAGGCCCAGTTCGCCGGCGCCCAGGACGAGGATGTTGGAGGCCATTGCCTTGCGGTGCCGGAGGAGGTGGAACTGCTTGACTTGCTGGTTGAGGGTTTGCAGGTTGGCAACGGTGAGCTGGTGAGGCCCGGCGCCCGGTTCGCCGTCCATTTGGCCCTATATATGTATATGGATGTCCCTCTTGTATATCTTATCCTTGGGCAGCCCTCGAGGCGTCCTTGACAGCCTCCAAGCCGACTCAAAAGCCGGTCTCCACGTGGCAGAGGTTTCTCGTCCAGGCCAATAGATGGCATGATCTGACGAGGCTGCCTCGGTCCATGACTGGCCTGATGAGCAAAGTCCGAGGCCATGGGCAGTTCTTGCTGCTTCGTGCAGGTTGCCGTTTCTTGGCAGCCGGTGCCTGACGAATAAGCCAGTCCAACTTACCCGGAATTCGATACGCTTATACGAATCATAGACTTTTGAATTCGTCGTAACTGTAGTACCATCTGGTCAACAGAATTTCAATCGAAGCGATTCAATGGCTTTTTTTGGCACTCTTGATGCTGCAGCAGTCGCAACGGATTTAAGCTACATGTGCCGTTTGGTGAGGAGGACCCAGTCGTGTTAGTGAGATGCAAGCAATGATAGTTTTTAGCTGACGATTACCGCATCTCACGGAGATTAATCAACAAGGCACCAAAAAGGTTGAATAAATGTTGACAGTCGCCAAACTCTTTGCAGCCATGGATCTGAAGAAACTGAATATTCCAGAACCCGGATCGACATCCCTATTGATATCTCCCCCTTAATTGATGACTGCCTAGTACTAGTAGGTAATACTATCGTATTCTTTCCAAAAGCCGAAACAAGAGATTCTTTCATCATCAACCATCATTAGCCCCATGAGAGAACATTGAAACGTTACCCTGTCATCCAGTTTGAAACCCCCTTCCTCCCCCCCTTCTGGTGACATTCCGACCGTTTACTGATCCAAGCCGTGCAACCGACTGCTTCCTTCCATACATGTATCATAGGTAGGTAGTCGCAAGCAGCATCCCAAGACAATGTCCAACTACTAACTAGATGCTCAATCTTAGACGTTGGTGTTCTTGTTGGCAAATCCGACAACCTTGTTGCCCATGTCAAAGACGACAAACTGCGCCTTGAGGGCAATGTCGCCCAGCACGGCAAAGGGCGCGTCCTCGGACGACTGGATGCCGCCGTAGCAGTACGTCTTGTTCATGCGGCCGTAGTTGATGTACGAGCCGGGGATGACGCCGCGGTAGTTGCCCAGGCCAAAGGCAAAGTCGGGCAGCGTGGCGGCGCAGGGCACGAGCATCATGCCGACGTCGTTGCTGAACGTCGAGCCCTTGACCTGGGCGTAGTAGGCGCTGACAATGTCGTTGGGCACGAGCAGCAGCGTGGTGCCCGTGTCGGCGATGGCGTTCCACACGCGCGGCACGTACTTTGTGTCGTTGCTGCCGACGCGGTAGCCGCTGACGGAGACCTCCCACAGCGGCGACGACGGGTTGATGGCGGCGTACTGGATGGGGCCGATGTACTCGGAGCCGTTGATGTACCCGAAGTTGTAGTTGCCCGGCTTGCCCTTCTTGAGGTTGGCCGTGAAGACGGGCCGCGCCAGCTGGCTCTTGATGTTCTCCAGGTACGTCGTCTGCCGGTCCGGCCGCACCGTGTTGGCCGCGCTGCTGGCCGCCCCCAGGAGGCCCGACGAGAAGCTGTCGTCGCTGATCTCGTTGGAGATGTTGACGGCCGACTCCACCGCCTGCTGGTTGAAGAAGGTGTTGCCGATCTGCACCCGGTCCTTGTACACGATGCCGTTGGCGCTGGAGCCGTCGCCGTACCGAATCACCCACGACTCGCCGATGAGGCGCTGCGCGGTCGTCGAGGCGCTGACGTTGTACCGGGTCTGGCCCTGGACTTGCGGCGGGTAAGTGTCGGTCGAGATGACCCAGCTGGATTGTTGTGTTAGAGGAGTCTTCGTACAAGTCTTTGTGTGAATATCAGACGCTCGACTTACAGATCAGATGAGCCCGTGTCGAGGTTCAGGGGCAGAGTCTGGGGCGGGGTGCCAATCTTGACAGGCAGCACATATTCGGCATCAGCTCCCGGAGGCGGAGAGGCAACGGCAGTGCCAGTCATGTTGCCTGTTTTCTACATCAACAACTTGATCTTTTACACCCCCCCAATGGCAAGGTCATGTTCGAGAGAGGAGAGAGACGTACCGGCATTGATAAGCTTGCTGAACTTGCGGTGCAGGTCCGGGTTGATCTCAATGGCATGCTTGATCTTGTCCGGGATAGTAGGGCTGTACTTTGCCAGAGCCGAGATGTAGGCGGCGGGGATGTTGCCCTTGTAACGCTCATTCGGAATCTGTTCAAGGGAGAACGTCTTGCCTTGCTCGGCCGACTCGACTTCATCGGCCCTTGGCTGGGCCACTCCGGCCGAGGCCGAGCTTGCTAAACACGCAAGTGTGAGAGCCGCTGCGTGAAACTTCATGATGGCGGATTATGGAAACGGCAGAAAAAAAAGAGAAAATGTCGAATCGAGATCAGCTTCCGGTGGCTCTCTGCTCCTTTTATATCAAAAGAAGACGGGAGAGAAGAAACCCTTTGATACTGGAAGGGAGAAAGATGGATTATTCACGACCCTTTCGCGTATTATATACTCATGGCATTCCGGCCTGAAACGACCTCCCTGCACTTTTGGATTCCAACCCGCATCATGGCGATTCTACACGATGGCGGAAGGCCCATCTTCCGTTTACTGACGGATCATTGCCATATAGAGCCGTCGAATATCCGCGTGATGGCTGCCCAAGCCTTGGCCAGGAATGTGTAGGAATGTGATTCGAGGCAAGCAAGAGCATCAGGACGTGTCTTTTGCAGCAATTGAGGACAAGCAAAAAAGCGCGGAGTCCGCACCTGGGGGCGGGAAGACGAGGGCATTTCTCTGAGACACTGTTTTGTTTCTCTCTCTCTTTCTTCTGAGACAACTCTTATTCTCCTTGGTGACGATTCCCCCCAGGGATGGACCGAGACATTAGGCCATCAGCAGATATGCGTTGGCCGTGCCTTTCTGCCCCCTTGCTCGCTGCTTCTTGGTCACAGCTGCATTTCAGCTCTGCTCGTCCATTGGCACACCTGACGATGAGGTTGACTTTGGATGACGGCATTGATTTCTCGTTTCTCATGCATGGCGTTTTTTTTTAAAGGTGAGTGTACACGAAAGTTGTCTCTCTCTGTTGGATCACATGGATAATATGATGATGCTCTCCTTGCTTTGCTTGGGATCATTTGTACGGAAGAGAGAGCTCTGTGGACCGGCATCTGGCGGCTTTAAGCTCTGAGTCAAAATAAGAATAAGGTGACTCAGGTGTTGTAAGATTGCAGTGCGTCTGACTCGGCAGATTCAGTCAAGGCGAGAGATGTCAACTACTACTGACCGTTTACTCTATCAAAGCGTTGGAACAAGATGACTAGAGATAGAGGTAAGATTGGCAGTAGTAGTCCTTGAGTAGGTACCTATTGAAGCTTGAAGTCAAAGGGACTTGAAGCTTCAAAGTTGAATTGATGACTGATGTCTTGATGGTTGTGCTGAGGTGCAAGTACCTGCGGCGGAAGTACCTTTTACTCATCGACCTCAGTCATTGGGTGACTCATTGGAACGAAAATGCCCCAGATTGGCAGGAATACGTCAGTCGCCCCCAGTAGACGGTGACTCGAGGCAAAGTACCCCTCGCTGTGGGCGGCAGAGGAACCGCCACCAACACGGGAAACTCGAAATTTCAGATAAGATAAAAAATCGATAGGCGGGCGATATCGAGTATTTCGTCCACCTTCAAGGTGCACGTTCTCTCCATCTTTTCTGCCTCGTCTCATAAGAGATTGCCTCTTCTTCTGCCTGCTATACGGTGAATAAATCAAGACACAAAGACACACATCAGCATCAGAAACAGAAACAGAAACAGAAACAGGCAAAAGAAATCACCTGCACACCATGGACACAGACGGTGTCGCAGCCTCCCCGGCCGCACCTCACCAGCCACCATACCAGTACACCCCCAACCAGGGCTACGAGCAGACGGAACAGGTCCCCCGCGAGCTGCTGAGGCAGCAGCAGGCCGGCGCCCTGCATGCCGCGGCAGACGGTGAAGCCGACGATGACGACGACTATCTCGAGGACATCTTCGACGACGACGACGTCGACGAGCAGGACGACGAGGACTGGGCCGCGGGCGACGGCGACCTGACCAAGACGTACAACCGCCAGCGGCAGCTCAACGACGGCGGCGCGGCGGCCCTCCCGCGGTCGAACCAGCAGAAGCCCAAGGCCAACACGCTCGCCAGCGTCGACGACCAGGTGTCGGCGCTGGCGAGGCACGCGGCCAAGATCCGGCTCGACAGCGTCAAGCACGATGGCGAGCGCGACAAGGACAAGGCCGACCGGGCGACCAGCGAGCAGGTGCTGGACCAGCGGACGCGCATGATCCTGCTGCAGCTCATCAACCGCGGCGTTGTCAGCGAGGTGCACGGCGCCATCAGCACCGGCAAGGAGGCCAATGTGTACGGTGCGGTGTCGTACGACGAAGAGACTGGCGCGGCGACGCAGAGGGCCATCAAGGTGTACAAGACGGCCATCCTGGTCTTCAAGGACCGCGAGCGGTACATTACCGGCGAGCACCGCTTCAAGGGCGGCTTCGACAAGGGCAACAACCGCAAGATGGTCAAGCTATGGGCCGAGAAGGAGTACCGCAACCTGAGGAGGATATACAGCGCGGGGATCCCCTGCCCGGAGCCCCTGGCTCTCAAGCTGCATGTTCTCGTTATGGGCTTCCTGGGCGACAAGAAGGGCTGGGCGTATCCGCGACTGCGCGACGCCAACCTCCAGGGCGACGACGTGGACCAGCAGTGGCAAGCGCTGTACGTGCAGCTGCTGGGCACGATGCGGCGCATGTACCAGGTGTGCAAGCTGGTGCACGCCGACCTGAGCGAGTACAACATCCTGTACCACGCGGGCAAGCTGTACATCATCGACGTGTCGCAGAGCGTGGAGCCGGACCACCCGCGGTCGCTCGAGTTCCTGCGCATGGACATCAAGAACGTGGGCGACTTTTTCCGCCGCAAGGGCGTCGACACGCTGCCGGACCGGGCGATCTTCAACTTCATCACGGTGCCCGAGGGTCCCGTGGAGGAGCCTGCGCTCGGGGAGGCGCTCGCGAAGCTGTACGAGACGAGGCGGGATGCTACCAACGACGAGGAGGCCGCTGCCGAGGAGGTGGACACGGAGGTTTTCCGCAACCAGTACATCCCGCAGACGCTGGAGCAGGTGTATGATGTCGAGAAGGACGTCAAGCGGCTGAATCTCGGCGAGGGCAATGACCTGGTGTATAGCAAGCTGCTTGCTGACCAGGTTGTTGCGCCCAAGGGCGATGGCGAGGGAGATGACGAGTCGGAAGATGAGTCGGAGGATGAGTCTGGCGAGGGAGCCTCGCTTGATGGCGAGAGTGAGGAGGGCGATGATGATGATGAGAGTCGATTTGATAAGGGGCGGCCGAGGGGGCGCAAGTTTGAGGATAAGGATGAGAAAAAGGTATGGTTTCCCCCCCCTCCTGTTTTGCAACGTGGATGATGTTGAGTATGTTTGATGGACTGACTTTTCTGGGTTTGCAGCAACACAAGTTGGCCGTGAAAGAGGCAAAGCGGGAGAAGAGGAAAGAAAAGATGCCGAAGCACATGAAGAAGAAGCTCGTTTCAAGCACATCTCGGAAAACGAAGAAATAAACATCAAAACAAATAACCAAAATAAAGAAGAGAAATGAAAAAAACAAAAAAGGTAAATTTGGAATATAGAAAAGCATCGTCTTTCTTTCTTTGTCTCTTTCGCATTTCTTTTCGTTCTGTGACAAAAGCTACTTCATACTCTTTACCACCTGTGGCCTGCCTAGTTGGCGGTGCCTAGTGGTGTTGACGTGTATGTCTGGAAGGCCAGGAGAACAACATTGAATGATGAGCACTGATTCTTGTCGCGAACCGCACAGAGAAATTCCTTTGAATTGCTGTGTTTAACGTCCTCAGTTTGAGGGATGGGTAACCGCTTTTCTTGGGGTTTCTGTGCTGTTCCCGCGATATGATTGCAGGGTGATACAGAATCCCCCTTGCGAGATGAATTGTCAAAGAGAGCGCTGACGGTGTTGTTCTCCTGGCCTTTTTCTTGGAATGACGCCACTTGATGGGTATATCTGAGAGATGGACCGGCTGTACGCGGTGATGATGCCTTTGCTTTGGCTAGGTAGATTTTGATCATTATTCCATTCTGCACACTATACATAAGCTTCATCCAATACTCCGTCATCATCATTATCCAAAGCTGGAATCGAAAACTCTACTTTTCTCCTCATTAAAATATCCAAAAAAGGTGACATTTTCCCCCAGAAACACCCGCTTTTACAATTTTGAAATCCGGTATCAGAAGTAAAACTGTTGATGGTTTTGACCTGGCGGGGGTTGCGCCAAAAAGTCAAAGTTGAAGGCGTCGACGCCGGTATTCCACGGATCAGGAGGGGATTCTGAGCACTAACGTTAGCTTTGCCGAGAAATATTGAGGGAGAGGAGGCTGCATGTGATGAGTAACTTACCGACCCAGATGGAATCGTAGAGCTCCATGGGGGCGTTGAACTGCATGGGGTCGACAATGGGCGGGATGCCGTCCATGGCAATGTTGTTGTTCATTTGTTGAGGGTAGGTCATCCTGTATAACGACCTGTTAGCTCACATGCCTGCAATAAAAGGGGGGATTTTACGCTACGCACGCCGACATGTCGTGTATGGATGCTCCGTTCTGCATTTCGGCCATGGCCATGGCTGCGTCCTCGCGGGCATCCGTCACCGGGGCTACTGGCCGGAACGACGGATTCGATATCATGTTGTTGTATCCGCCCTGGCCGTTCAGCCCCAGTTGCAGCGGAGTCCTATTCCCACTGGCCGCGGCAGACAGGTCACCGTCTCTCTTGAGGCTCGACATGTTGACTTGTCCGTGGTCGTAGATGTTTTTGAGGGCCGTGAGTGCTCTCCAAAGGGGGCCGGAGAGCTCAATGTCCTTGTCCGTCTTAGCGACGTGAGCCTCTGGGGAGCTAACCTCCTTTGCCGCCGTCGCAGAAAGAGCTTCGATCAGGTCACCCTGGAGTTGTCGGACCTCGGGGTCTGACTTGGTGTCGGAGAGGAGGCCGAGCAGCAGAGCCGATGACAGGCCGTGGTAGGTGAAAGCCCAGCTTCGCGTGGGAATCACCGAAAGCTGATGCATGGCCAGGAACATGGTCACCGTCTCAGTCAGATTGACCCTGCATCTTTCTGACAAGGCCTTCTTCTGCGCTGGATCAAAGGGACAGTCGCGACGAAGCGCCGGTCGACATGCGACGGAGATGACGAAAGAAGTATGGAGGCGGATGGCGAAGAATTGAAGACGATCCAACGCCGTCTTGCACTTTTCCTTGTCCTGCATATGGGGGGCGGCCCGCTTGCGAAGCTCTTCGACCGCTTCGCAGTTCTCATAGATCTGCTGGTAGCTAGCGGAAGCCATGACGTCGGGATTCAGCCGGCGCGATATGATTTCGATGAGGTTGTACATCATTTCCAGATAAGTATAGTTGCCCACGGATGCATCCGAGTTGTGGGGTATCGGGCAGCTCGGAATGTTTGTCATTGAGCTCCTACAGAAAAACTTCCATCAGCATTATACTCTGGCAGCTTGACAAGGCACTTACCGATCAAAAGACAAGGAGGTCAAGGTATCGTGCCAGACACATGTCCACCATAGCCTTCGCCGAATCATCTCCTTGGAATTGGCGGCAGGGGGCGAACTGTCGCGGCTGCCGCGGATCATTGGGCGATGGAGTCCTAGAGACTGGGCAAGGCGACAGGTGAGGCCCGTGAGTGCCCATGATGCCTCGGCCTTCATGTCGTTGAGAAGGACAAAGTTGGTTAATAGCAATGCTTGGATCGAGTCAAAGGATGGCCTGGTTTGGGTTGTTAGGACACATGTGACGGGATGGGCCGGGCCGGGACGCTCTACCTCAGAAGAAAGTTTGCTAGTCGGAGAAGATGGAAAGATATCTGAATGTACTTTTGCGAATCCTTGGTGCGGATGTGATACGGAGACTCGTGATACTGCGAGCCGACTGCCAAGACGGCAAAAAGGATGGCAAGCCAAGATGCCGTGACGGGCTTCGAGGCCTTGCCGGATTTGGAGGCATTACGAGACCGATCTTCCAGGTAGATCATGAGATTGGACTCGAGCTCATCAATATCCAGTACAAAGCCCCAAAAGGGCTGCGGGATCTCTTTGTACGTGCGGAAGAGCCTGGCGAGTGGGATTAGTATGAGATGCAACTGACAAAGCAAAGACTTCACATACTTCATCACTTCTCTATCTGATGGTAGCTCGTTGGCAATATCACGGGCGAGCCTCTGGAGGTGGTTGGATGACATGAGAGGAAAGGGGGCAGATGTGTCGAGCCCCAGGATGGACCGCATGTCTCGGCGAATGTCCGTCCCGTCCTCCTTGTTGTTTGGTGATTGCTCTCCTAGCAGCGCCGGGATGCTGTTTTGCCCAACATAACGATCAGGCACCGAGTCAGAGTCGTCCTGATTCGTGGACAGGCCTACGATGGTGTTATCATGGAAGTGAACGTGTTACAGAATGATGTGAATTTTTACCAATTGCCGGCGGCCAACTCTCCTGGCGCTCATCCTTGACGGTGTCGTCTGCATCGGACGGCGAGCGAGCCCTCTTGCGGGTGTGAGCGGCGGCGGCATTGTTCTTGCTAGCCGAGGAGCGATTGGGCTTGTAAGAGCACAGCTGAGGGTGCTCCCGCTTGACGCAGTTCTCGCACGGCTGCTGGTTGTCACACTTGACCTTGCGCTGGCGGCATGGCCAGCAAGCGGTCCCTGTGTTGGTTGCATTAGTCTCGCGGCACTGGGTTGTGATTGAGGCCTCTTGGATGACCAGGTAGGGAGAGGTGGCATCTGGCAGTGCTAGCAGCAGCTTATAGCCGCCATGACGACCGGGACATATCAATATCAGACGACTCCGGCTTACCGTATCGAACCTTGCGGTGCGAATGGATGATGCGACTGGCCTCCTCCGGCGTCAGATCGTCGACCGGCACCTGCTCGTCGGCGTCATGGTCGACCATGATTGGATTCGATGCAACAGCCTCAGCGCCTCGGATGATTCCAACTGCATGCGGTGGAGACGAGCGTCCAATTACCAGCAGGTGAGCGTGAGCTGCCGTGAGTTTCTCAGCTTCATCAACGCCGAACTCCGAGCATCTCCATGAAGCGTAAGATGGTGGAGGAGCCGGAAGTGCCTGGGGGGACTTCGCGACGCGGATCAACTGGCGGACCGCGAGCGACAAGCTGGGAATGACGCGACGCCAAGCAGCACGTGACCCGGCAGTCTTCCCTGTGACGGCACACGTGCTTTTTATGGGTCTCTTTCCTTGCAGCTGACGGCTTGGCGGCATTCCCCGCATTTTGCGGGAGAGGCACAGTTTAGCTTTGTTTGGGCTGCATCCACCTACAAGGCGAGGGAAACGCTTGTTGCAACTCAAGTCTCACCTTCTAGGACCGATCGAGCTGGTTGGACTCGGCGAGATCTACTACTACTAGTACGAGCGCGAGCATCGGTGGCACCAGCCAGCTCCAGCAGCCGGAGAGGCCTAGACAGGCCCGGCGAGGCACACAAGGCAAGCAAATGTCTCGTGGGCGTGAGCGGTCGAGCCTGGAGCTGGAGCGCATCATCAGCCGCCTCGACGACAACTTTGCGCTGCAGCTGCGCAAGCCCAAGCACCGCGAGCCCCCGCTCAGCGACGAGGAGGCCCGCGACGAGCAGAGGCGGGTGGACGACATCTGTCAGAGAATCCGGCTGCTGCACTATGGGGGAGACGACCGGCTAGCTGCATGTCTGGGCCGCTTTGAGCAGCAAGGCCGCCTCATCCTCGCCGATGCTGCGTCATGCAGCGCCACGCGGCATCTGTCTACGGCCATTCGGGCTCTGCTCCAGAGGTGCCTGCTGCGTATCCTTTACGATGTCGACGGTGTGGAATCGAGGCAGTGGAGCAAGAGAGTGTCCGAGGACCTAGCAGAATACTCGGCAAAGCGGGCTAGGGGCCGATTATCCCACAGCTACGAACACCACGATGCAGTCGATGCTCTCCCCGTCCGCTCCAGGGACTCTTTCGGGAGACCCGGTGAATCAATGAGATCAGAGGGTCGCCCTATGTATGTGGAGGACGACCTTCCGCCGCCGCCGTCTCCTCCGCCGCCCCCTCAGCATCCCCGCTACGACAGGTCGATTGTTTCCAGTCGAGTGTCCTTTCAGTCTGAAGTCTTTTCTCAAAAGCAGACGCAGGACGAATCCTTTGTTAGCCAAACGACCATCGACTCCAGCTACCCGGACAAGGCATACGACTACCCGCTGTCACAGCAAACCACAGTCGAGTCCTTCTCTCACTCGTTCAGCGTGGGCCAGAGTCGCGACACTTTTCAACCAAACGGGCATTCTCTCCCTCATAGGCCTGATAAGCCCAAAGAGAGGCGAGAGCTTGATCCTCTGCAGTCCAAGAGTTTCGTTGACGGCAATGGCGAAGCCATCGAAGAGAGACTTGCTAATATATGGCGTAAGCATATGGGACTGCTAGAGCTTGTTCTTCACTGCTAACCGAGAGAGCTCGTAGCAAAATTGCCACACCCTGAGTTGACACAAGCGCCACTGGCTGTCATATGGGAGATAACGAGGGCTGCTCTTCACTGCAAAGTTTCGCTGGAGCAGTTCGACCTATTGTATGAGCCAAATGATAGCTGGCACGACCAGACCAACTTGAGAGAAATCGTATCAAGGCACCCGTTGTTTCATGGCAAAAGCTTGCCCCCTGCCAGCGATTCTGCGGCGTGGAGGACAGCAATGACGGACTTTCAAACCAAGGTCAAGACGGCCACGCTTACAGCCGAGTTAGTCTACAACCAGGACGGCGGGCCATTGTACAGTCTTCGACTACAACCATTGAGGCTTGAGCTGGGCCATCGGCTGGCCCGTCGATTTGGTGCTGATCGCTTTCTGGAAATTCTTATTCCATCGCCATCGTCATCATCAGATGAGGACCCCAAGGTGCTGAAAGAGGCCAAGAGCCTTGAAAAGATTGTAGAATGGCTGACAAAGTCACGGCATTACTTTCTCGGGCGGTCCTGGAAGCCGTTCTACGTGCGTGGTGTGAAGGGCAAGAAGATTCCGGCCACAACCCGTAGCACACCGCAGGACAGGGTCTACCTCTTTGCTTGCGACGGCAACAACTTCCGCAGCCCCTCTATAGCTGATGGGATCCCGCCGCTGGAAGAAGCGCTAGAGATCAAGAGGCGCACCAAGATGAAGCTCAGCGGCCTGCTGAAATGGGCTGTCGCCATTGATAAGGAGCGCAATTCTCAGCAGCCCATCGCCAAGCTCTTCTCCCGCTTAGCATTGAGTAAGTGGCAATAGCCCTATCTCTATCTGGAATCCAGCTTACACGAATGACTACTACTAGGCCTCAGCCGCACTTGGCCCACCGTTGTTCTTGAAAAAGAGCAGATTCTCGTTCGGCGCAAGGACCTTGAACGTGAAAAGGTGATGAATGACGGAATTGGTCGTATATCACCAAGCCTGGCCAAGAAAGTTGCCGACGCGCTCGGGTTGTCCGACTGTCCGAGCTGCTTTCAAGGTCGACTGGGAAGCGCAAAGGGCATGTGGTTGATTGATGTGGATAGTGACGATGAGCGGGACTGGGTTGAGATATACCCATCACAGACAAAGTGGGAATGCGACTTTGACGACCCTCATCACCGAACACTCGAGATACGAAATTGGCCATCAGAGTTGAAGTCGGCCTCTCTGAACCAGCAGTTTATACCTATACTAGAAGCACAGTCTCCGGAGCCCGACGGCATGCGCCGCGTGATGGCCGAGCATCTGGAGAGAGCGCTGCACGCCGACCTCGGTGAGCAAGTAGCCGCCATGAAGGAGCCTATGAGTCTCCGGTTATGGATTCATCAATCTGGCCCCTCAAAGAATGACCGTTTGCTGGATGGTTCGACAAAGTTCCTGGCTGGTCTTCCTGACAGTAATGCGGACAAGGTCGCGTTCCTCCTTGATTCAGGATTTGATCAGAAGAAGATGAAATACCTACAGGACATTGTTTGGGACATGTGCAAGAGGAAGGCCGATGTTCTCAAGACCAAGATGAACATTACCGTACCGTGTTCGGCCTATATCTACATGGCTGCAGACTTCACGTCGACCCTCGAAGAAGACGAGGTGCACCTTTCATTTTCCACCAAATTTCAAGCCGATGGCTTTTCCGATACGCTGCTGGAGGGAATGGATATCTTGGTGGCAAGAGTTCCAGCCCATCTACCCAGTGACATTCAAAGGGTGAAAGTGGTGTCGCGGCCTGAGCTGCGAAAGCTCAAAGACGTCATCATCTTCTCTACCAAAGGCGGAGTTCCCCTTGCCCATAAGCTATCCGGTGGCGATTACGACGGTGACATGGCCTGGGTGTGCTGGGATCAAAACATTGTCAAGAATTTCAGCAACGCTTCCGAGCTTAAGAAGCCAGACTTGATCAAGAGCGGATATATACGCAAGATGGACACGAAATTCAAAAGTATCTTGGACGAGGTCGAAAGCAACAACTACTACAAGTATAAGAGTAACACATCTGAGCATCTGGAGGATGCCTGCGCCGACTTTATAGCCCAGGCATTCCTGTTCAATCTGCAGCCCGCATTTCTTGGTCGATGTACAAACTACAAGGTGAAGCTGTGTTACGCACATAACTCGGTTCACGATCGGGCCGCTATACACTTGAGCCAGCTGCTTGGCTATCTGGTCGACCAGAGCAAGCAGGGTTATGTGTTTACACAGGACGACTGGCATCGTTTCCGCACAGTGCACTTGGGAATGAAAAAGACCCTCTTGAACGAGCCAGAGTATGCAAAAGAGAAGGGAACGCGGCTACCTGATAAGGGAGGCCGGCTGCATGTGCTCGATTACTTGCGCTTCGACGTCGCCGAAAAAGTCATTGACGCCGTCTTGACCAGCTTCCACGAATCCATCCACGGGAAAGACTCGGAGGTGCAAACCTATGATTCGGAGCTCACGAAGCTCACCAACCTCTACGACGAGCAGGCCACCACTTCTTCCAGCTGCAGACAGCTCTTGACCCATCTGCGGAGCAGCATCGCTGCGCTCTCGGACGAGTGGCGTGTGAGCATGCGCGACGGGATTGAAAACTCAAAGTTTGCCAACAAGGCCGAGGCTGTCTACCAAAAATGGCTGGACATACAACCGCCGCCCGAGCTGCTGATGAGCGGCGAGTTTCCCGCGCTAGTCCATGACGCAAACAAGGCTTCGGCGTTGAGTAACTGGCAGCTGCTGAAAGCTTCGACCACTTTCAAGAAGTATCACCACAGCGCGCCCAAGTTTGTCTGGAACATGGCCGGAAAGCAGCTTGCCTACATCAAGGCGATGGCGCGAAACGACGCTGGCGAGACGTCAAAGGTGCTTGTGATTCCCGAGATGTGGGGGGTCCTGCGGCCGGACAAGAAGCTCATCACCTCGCTGGCGATACAGAGGGAGGCTGCGCGGGATTCGGAGAGTGCACTGGCTTTGGAGGAGGTGTTTGAGTTTGACGATAATGGCACTGTTATTGACGATGCTTGATGAACTAGACTGTGGGAGCGAGCGTCTTTGAAGGATTGCAGACTGAATTTTTATGGATACTCATGATGTTCATGTTGGACTAGGATTATGTTGGAGCAAATTGTCTGGAAGTGAGAGGCATGGCAGAGGGGTCTTGTGCTGGGAGAATGAACACAATGAAAGTGATGTTTGATTAACAATTCTCTTGTTTGCTTGTATATATTACTATTTCAGATGTCATCAGTCTCTCATACAATTTGCTGTGATGCTTGCAAGGGAGCTTCATTGGAGTTGGAGCCTAAAGTGGGTCCCTCGGCGTTTGCCCAGTTTGGTCTAGCAAACAGCATTGCTCTCCAGATGCAGTTAGATCAAATCGCCCATTGTGTGACGCGGTCATGTGATATAAGGAGCTCATCAATCTCGCGCTCCGCCCTTTTGCTTCTCCACTTTCTTCTTTCTTCCACCTCCAAGGCCCGTGAACGCCTCGAACCAGGGCATCGCCCATCTTCCATCGCCCATCACCCATCGCCTATCGCCTGTCGCCTCTGTCATGGCTCACAGCCCCTCCGCCTACACCCAGGACACGGTCGCCAACACAGACGATGACGACTTGACACAAGCTTCGCTCTCGCCCGGGTCAGTGAGATTTGCCCCCGTGTGAAAAAGCCCTCGTGTGATGGCCCTCGCGATGCCACCAGGCGTTCTGCCTACGTGGATAGCCGTGCCGCTCCACTAGATGGGACCGTTTTCAGAGGCCGTTCTCTGCATGCTCGATCCGGTCGGCACCTCTTCACAGCTGTGTCTAGTGATGAGGGTCGGGATCTTGAAGGCCGTGGAATGAGGCTCGCCTCTCCACCTCCGGTTTGCAATACCGTTTCTGATGCGGTCCTTCTTGTGTTGAGCGGCGCGGGGTTTATCACCCTTACCATTGGATGGGATTGTCTCAGTAGGCCGTTCTCTGCATGCTTGACCGTATCGGCACCTCTTCGCAGCTGTGTCTAGTGATGAGGGTCGGGTCTTGAAGGCCTGTATGGAGGGCAACCTCTATCTAGCGCCGGTTTGCAATACCGTCTCTGAGACGATTCTTTTTGCTGGTGAGCGGCAGGGCTTATCACCACGTTCTTTTATCTCACAACTAGTTAGGATCGCTCTCGGCAGATTGTTCTCCTGCATGCTTGATCCGGTCGGCACCTCTTCACAGCTGTGTCTGGTGATGAGGGTCGGGATCTTGAAGGCCGTGGATCGAGGTTTTCCTCTCCACCTCCGGTTTGCACAACTGTCTCCGAGGCGATTCTTCTTAGTTGAGCGGCGGCGTCCATCACCACAACCTCGTCACTAGATGGGATCGCCCTTGGTGGATTGTTCTCTGCATGCTCGATCCGGTCGGCACCTCTTCACAGCTGTGTCTGGTGATGAGGGTCGGGATCTTGAAGGCCGTGGATCGAGGTTATCCTCTCCACCTCCGATTTGCAAAACTGTCTCCGAGGCGGTTCTACTGTGCTGAGTAGTGGTGTTTGTTACTTCACGCTTGAACCTCGTCAACTCGATCCGATTCCCTATCCTATAGACATGGATGCTCCTGATGTAAACAATGAACTGACGCGCGTTAGGCCGAGCCGACAATATCAGCACGGCGATGATGACGACGATGAATGCATTGGAAATACAGACCTAGACAACAAGGAGGGATATGATGTTGAAGATCCGACAGGGCCCAGCTCCCTCCAACCAGCGACAAGGTCTGAAGTCACCAAAATGTACTGCTCAAACACGACAGTGTCTTGGACCGATGGAAACGGCGACATGCAATCCACAGATTCTTTAGATCTTGATATCGCCATCGACCACACATCCAATACAGCTTTTCTGAGGCTATGCGGTGATATCTATATCAAGTGCAGCAATCCTTCCAATAGGCGGGTCATCTATCTATACATTCGTCCTGAAGTCATCAATTCCGTCTCGTTTCGAACAGATAACAAGGCGCGGTCGCTGTGTTTTTCATTGCAACGGAAGCCTGATCTGATCACTCCCAAAGAGCCCATCAACGCCAAATTGAGGAGCCAGGCCCTGCTTGATGCTATCATGGTTATATCCGCAGTGACCAATTTCACTGTCCGCCTCAACAGCTCCGACACGACTCCTTCAAAAGTCTTGAAGAAAGTTGCCTTCATCTTTTCACCCCGTCCGACTTGGAATGCCGAGCTCGGCAATCTCGACAGATTGTATGACGGCTCTGGGGGTCAGATCGCCAACGCAGGCATAGCTGTGAGCACTGTGAGCACTGTTGAGGCCAGCACTGAATCCGAAGACAGTGCTCGCACTGATTCTGAAGCACAATCTCCTCCGGCCTATCGACCAGCATCCAGTAAGCCTATATTCAGACTGCGCTGTTCAATGCCTGTACTGACTCAACGTGACTATAGAAAAGCGCAAACGTGATATCCCTGATCCTGAAAGCGGCCCTTCATCGGCGAAAAGTGACATGCCACCCATCAATGTCATGCTCCGTGAGATGGAAAAGCGCATACTGAAGAGTATTCAACAGCTTGGGGATAAGCTGGACAACGCCGATCCCTGCCGCTATGACACGGAAGAGAGAGAAGACGTATTGGCAGAAGTGACACAGCGGTGTGACGACGAGTACATCAATCTGAAGGTCGAGTCGACCGATGTGTTTGAGGAGGTCAAGGAGGATGTCGAACGTGTGCTGAATCAAGTGGACGATGACGTGAAAGAAAGGATTGAAATGATGCAAGACGAGCTTGACGAGAGGGTCGAGAGCATTGCGCTGACGACGGCAGTGGCGGCGGCGGAAAAGTACGTCAAAGAAACGCTGCTGAATGCAAGCTGGCGGATAGATGGCAGCATGTCTTTGCAGAGGGAGACTTGAGCTGTTGCCGTTGTTACGATACTTTCACGAAGCTGATGACCCGTATCATGCTTGGAACATTATGCGCTTAACTATACAATATCTACAACTAATTACAATATGTGACACTCTAATCTCTGAGGTTGACCATTCTATATCCCTCTTGATGGCCGTGCCCCAGTCTCCTCCTTCGCCAAAAGTATGATGCCACGTAGACAACTCCGGCAACGCTGAAGATTGAAGCTCCCATGACGCCTACGGTGCTCGAACTTGTGGTTTGGCGCTCGGCGGATGTCGAAGCTGATGGTGACGTTGACGCTGCTGCTGCTGCTGGTGCAACATTTGAAGGCGAAGGCGATGTAGATGCAGATGCTGATGCCGACGGCGACGGCACAGGTGGAGGAGCCGGGGGCTTCAAGGATACGATATCGCTCGTGACCGTGATGGGGTTCCCGCCATCTTGGAGATCGAGGACGATTGTCGAGCCCAAAACGTCGCCGGAGGAGGAGACGGCTGCTGCGGCGACGTATCGGCGAGTGGTGTTTGTGTTTGTGCTGGTGCTTGTGCTGGGGAGGGTGATGATTGTTTCGAAGCCTTGGCGGGGGGACTGGATGAGGAGGTTGGTGTGGTTGTTGATGGTTTTGTGGTCGTTGGAGGCGAACTTTTGATGGTGTTAGCTGTTTTCTCGCACGCATTGAAAGGAGAGAGGAGAGGAGAGGAGAGAATAGGTGAGAGAGAAGGCTTACAATTGCCCATGAAGAGACTTCTGTTGCTCCATTCCAGGAGACGTAGATTGTGGCGTTGTACGTGTTGTTGTTTGGTGCGTCGACGGCGATACTAGGCGGCCACGAAGGCTGGCCCTTCCAGTCCCCCTTGTGCACCCTATAAGCAAACATGTCCGGCACGGCCTCTACTCCGCCGATAGGACCCCTTTGGACGTCGAGCACGGGCGTGCCGTCAGGAGCGTACTCGACGAAGCTCGGGTTGTAGCCCCAAGCGGTCATGATGTTGCCATTGCTGAGCGATTGGTAACCGCCCATTGCGCCGGAGTTGACGCCCTCTGGATGGAAGAACTGGGATACGAGGCGGGCCGTGTGCAGGACGGGGTTGATTGCGATGCGGAGGGCGCGGGAGGAGCAGTGCTGCGTTTCTGATGATGAGGAAGAAGGGCAGAAGCCGGACTCTTCGCCGTGGTTGTCAAAGAGGGTGATGTGCGTCTCCTCCTGTCCGTCTGTCAGGGGAGATGATGAGGAGGAGGAGGAGGGGACGATGCGGGCGTCGTGCTGCCAGGAAAAGTTTGTGGCTGCGCCGCCGGAGAGGTCGGTGAATTGGTTCTGCTTGCCGCCGAGGATCCAGAGCGGGTGGCCGGTTTTGTGGTCGATGAGGGTGAGGACGGAGAGGTGGCGGGCGGAGACGAGGTAGTCGCCTTGTTCTGTCTGTTTTTTTTGCACGGAGTTGAGATGTTAGTTGGTGATTCTGTATGGTTTGTAAGTGGGAAAAGGGAGGGGAGGGAAGGGTGTTTGTCAGCTTGCCTTTTGGATGGAGTTGATGTGAAAAAAGTCGAAGCCAGAATCAGGGCTCACGCCGTATGCGTCGGTATACTCGGCATACGACTGATCAATGGCAAAGTACTTGGAGGCGTGCCAGTCAAAGACCAGCTCGCCCGTCGCCAGGTCAATCTCCTGAAAGCCGCTGTCCATGAGCAGCGCGTCCTCGGGCCCACCGACGGGCCGGCAGTCAAAGGGGATGTTGAAGTAGGTCGAGAAGATGACGGTGCCGGCGTCTGTGACGCTGAGCTCGTGCATGTCGGCCATTGCGTCGTTGAGGCCCTGGGCGGTGACGTTGTAGCGCAGGGTATACGCCTCGTCAAAGAAGAGGCAGTTGCCGTTTGCGTGGCCGCGGGTGTGGCCGCCCTCCCAGAAGGCGAGGTAGCGGGTGCCGTTGACGAGGTGGGCGCTTGAGGCGTATGTGTTTTCGTACTGCTGGTCTGCGTAGACGAGGGACAGGTCGCGGGCGTCGAAGATCATGGGGCCGGCCTTTTGGGTGCCGTAGACGGTGCCGAGGAAGATGTGGGAGGCATTGGAGGCGCGGCTCGGATCGAGATGGTTGATGAGGAAGATGGGGGCGGTGAGCGGGGAGGAGCGGAAGGTTTGGCTGGGGAAGTTGGCGTGGGAGGTGGTGAGGGTGGTGAATTCGGAGGAGTTTGTGAGGGGGGGGATGTCGGCGAGGGCGGAGGGGGCGAGGAGGGTTGTTGCGAGGAGGAGGAGGAGGAGGAGGGGGAGGTGGAACATGCTGTTTAGTGAGATTGGCCAGGTGAGGGTATAATGGAGGATAGACTTTGGGGGGAAAGTCTTGCTGGTGTAAGTGTGCGTGTCGAATTTGGGTATTTAGAAGAGTCTCATTGCAGGTTGAAGGGGGAATATCTGAAGCGGTTGAGAATTATTCGCCGAGTGTTGTATGCTGAATCATGTAAACGAGGCTCAACGCAGAAACATTACAACAAAAGATGTAAACGGACGAAGAATTAGTATAAGAAGAAGTCGTCTTCGAAAACAACAACAGAAAACAAGACGGATACAAAACAAGTTTAACAGGTGTGACACAAAGTACATCATCCCGTGGTCTTATAAAGCCATTTTTTATCGTCGGGGATCGTCATACGCGGCCTCGACCCCTTTTTTTTTCGTTTCCGAGTCCACATCGCACTGCTTAAAACACAGACTTTGAGCTATGTGTGGCTCAAATCCATCAATGATCGGCATCGACTTGACCGCAAAGGCAAAGTCGTTGAAGCGCCTAAAGTTGACGGGTTCCATCAAATGTTATGGAGCATTTTGGACATGTATGTAAGCTGGACGATTTTGCCCCAAGTCTTGAGGCCGGATGCTTCCAATTATTTTGAATCATCTAGGAAGTGTTTTTGAAATGGTGATGACTCCTCAGCTCGACAAGACGTAGTAGGGTATCAGATGAAGATGTCTGGTGTTTTCTCTTACTGGTGACATACTGTAGTATGAAAACTGCCGGGGCATCGGGGCTGCTCGGCTCCGCAGCGGGGCGCTGCCAAGACGGCCTGCTTGCGCGTTATAATTTCCAGAGGACCGACGATCCGTCTTTGGGGGAGCGATGGTCCGGCGTGGCGATGGATGGACTCAGATGGACTTGGAACTTGTATTATAGGTTTGAATATCGATTGCTTTGAGCTGTAGCTATGATCCTCGGGCAATAACGCTATGATACAATAGATGATGAAAGTTGAAAGAACAGAGCTGTGTGATGCGTGTAATATATAAAATCACTGCTATTGAGTCTCAAATACATACATGTTATTGCTCACCGTGCTGTCCCTTGACATCTCACTTCTCCTACACCCCTCTCTCTTACAGCAAGCCTCATGCCATCCAGCATCAGATATACTCATCCCGCACGCATCAAATAGGCTCATCCCGCGGCTCAATCAAAACCTCATTCACAGCAACGTGCTCCGGCTGACACACGGCATACAAAATCGCCCCCGCCACGTCCTCCGGCTCCAATATCTTGGCCCCCGACGGCTCCCCATACTTCTTGATGGCCTCGTCGTCCGTCGACATGCCCAGCAGCTCCGTCGCCGTGTTGCCTGGCTGCACCGACGTGACCCTCAGCCCCGTCCCCGCCGTCTCCAGCCGCAGGCTCTGCAGCGTCGCCTCGACAAAGAACTTGCTGGCCGAGTAGACGCCCAGGCCCGGAAACACCTTGCGCCCCGCGTCCGACGAGATGGCGACGACGTGGCCCGCCTTGCGCGCCAGCATGCCCGGGATCGTGGCCGACAGGCAGTGCAGGAGGCCCTTGCAGTTGACGTCGACGGTGCGCTCCCACTCGTCGGTGCGGACGTTGGCCATCATGGTGTAGTACATGACGCCGGCGCAGCAGACGAGGATATCCACGGGGCCGAGAGCGCGCTCCGTCTCCTGGACGAGGGCGTCGACTTGGGCCTTGTCGGTAATGTCTGTCTTGTGGATGAGGACTTTTGTCGTCGCGCTGGAAGAAGAAGAAGAAGATGTGATTCTGGATTTGAGCTTCTCGAGCGCGTCGGTGCGGCGGGCGGCGAGGGCGATGGATGCGCCCTCTTTCGCGAGGGCAAAGGCCACGGCCGCGCCGATTCCGGACGAGGCTCCCGTGACGACGGCCACCTTGCCTGACAGGCGGCCCCTTTTCTTCTTCATCATCGTCACGGCAGATCCGTTTGTTCCGTTGGTCGTCAGGCGACGGGGCGGATGAGGGAGCCAGCCGCGGGCGAAAAAGTGCCTCGTGTACGTCTCCAGCAGGGCGCTGTCAACGTCGATGCGCCTCACTCCGTAGCGCTCAAGCAAAGGCCGAGTGGCGTCGTCCCTGAGGACAATGGCCCCCTGAAGGCCGTCCACGGTGGGCATTCCGCCGCGCAAGATGTCGACGGTGAAGGGGTCGTCGCCTCCGCCGCGGGCGCCGCGCTTCTCGTTCCAGAGCGCCACCCATTCGTCCCACGGCAGCCGGCCCGTCTCGTAGCCCAGCTCGGCGAGGGAGTCGAAGAGCGACGCCGACGTGACGGGCCGGGAGTCGCCCAGGTGGTAGACGAGCTGCTGGCCGTCCGTGTGGTCCGCCAGCGCGACGATGGCGCCGGTGACGACGTCGACGGGCGTCATCTCGACGACCCAGTCCGGCACGTCGGGGGCCTGGCCGAGCTGCAGCGACTCGATGATGAGGGCGTTGAGGAGGTCGTACGTGTTGGCCGCGCCGGTGACGCTGTGCCCGCTGATGGTGCCCGGGCGGTAGATCCTGGCCGGGATGCCGCGCCTGCTGGCCTCGACGACGAGCTTCTCGGCCACCCACTTCGTCTGGCCGTAGCCGTCCTGCAGCCGCGTGGGCACGTCGTCGTAGTCGATCATGGCGTCTTCGGGCCAGCCCTCGCGCGACGGCGGCAGGACGCCGTTGGTCGAGATGTGGTGCACCGTCGCGCCGCCGCGGGAGGCCAGCCGGAGCATCTCCCTCGTGCCGCCGACGTTTGCGCTGCGCAGGGCCGCGTACGGGTAGACGAGGTTGACCGTCGCCGCGGCGTGGACAATGACCTGCACGCGCGACGCGAGCTCCTCAAAGGCCTCTGGCGACAGGCCGAGGCGGCTGCGCGCCAGGTTGCCGGGGACAATCTCCATGCGGTCGAGCATCGAGTCGCTCCAGATGCCGAGGTCGATGAGGTTCTTGCGGATGCGGGCGGTGCCTGCCGGGCGGCAGTCCTCGGTCGGCTCGGTGAAGCGCACCATGCAGAGGATGTGCGCCGAGGTGTGCTCCAGGAGGGCCTTGAGCAAGAAGGCGCCCAGGTAGCCCGTCGACCCGGTCAGCAGGATCGTCTCGGCGTCGCTGAGGCGCTTCATCCGCGGCGACGCGACATGGGGCTGGATGTCCTCGGGCAGCTGGGCGTCTGCGCGGAGCACGGCCGGCAGGTCGGCCTGGACCTGCTCCGTGTGGCCGTCGCGGGCGGCCTTGACGGCTTCGAGATGGCCCTCCAGGGTGGGATTGCCGGCGAGAGGGCCGAGGGGGACGGGGAAGCCGAAGGCCTTGCTCAGCCTGCTGGCCAGGTCGGCCAGGATCAGCGAGTGGCCGCCCAGGTCGAAGAAGTCGTGCTTGGGCGTGATGCTCGTGACGGGGACGTTGAGGGCCGCGGACCACATCTTGACAATGGTGTCCATCTTGATGGTCACGTTCCTCTCCGGCTTGGCGGCGGCGACCTGCTCCGGCGTCCGCGGGCGAGGCGGCGGCGGCAGCGCCTTGAGGTTCGTCTTGCCGGAGACGGCGTGCGTGGGCAGCTCCTTGAGCTCAACCCACAGGGGCGGGATCATGTAGTGCGCCAGGTGGGCAGAGAGCGCGCGGCGGGCCACGGGGCTGTGGCCAGACTCGTCAATGACGACAATGGTGCGGCCCTGGACGTTGTCGACGTCGGGGACGATGTAGGCCACCAGCTGCTTCTGCAGGCCCTCTCCGTGGGCGACGACGGCGCAGTCGCGCACCGCGAGATGCTTGACAATGGTCGTCTCGACGGCGCCGGGCTGGACCGTGTAGCCGCGCGTCTTGATCATGCCGCCGACGCGGCCCGTGATCTCGAGGAGGCCCGACGGGAGCATCCGCGCCATGTCGCCGGTGCGGTACATCCTGGCGCCCTCCTTGTTCTTGACAAAGGGGTCCATCTGGAAGGCGGCCGCCGTGGTCTCGGGCAGGTTGAGGTACTCCCTCGCGAGCAGGTCGCCGCCGACAAACAGCTCGCCGCTGACGCCGGGCTCGAGCCGGTTGCCCGCCTCGTCGAGGATGTAGATGTGCTCCGGGTCGACGGGCGGCCCGACGGGACAGACGCGGGCCTCGTAGTCGACAAACGTCTTGATGTCGCCCACGGCGATCTCGTGCGTCTCGCTGGCGCTGTAGACGTTGAGGAGGCGAGTGTTGGGCAGCGCGTCGCACGCCCGGCGGACGAGATCCGTCGTGACCACCTCGCCGTTCAGCCACAGTGACCTCAGCTCCGGCAGCCTCTCGCCCAGCTTCGGGTGCCGCGAGAGGACGGTGGTCAGCAGGGTGGGGGTCATGAGCGTGTCTGTGATGCGCCGCTCGGCGAGGAAGTCGACGAGCCCGATGGGGTCGTAGCTGATGCTGTCCGGGACGGCGACCGTGGTGGCGCCCCTGATGAGCGGCCGCAGCATCTCCCAGACGAAGAAGACGTTGCAGGCCACGCGGTCGCCGGGCTGCAGGTCGCTCGTGCGGAAGCGCAGGTCGTAGCTCAGCACCGGCGCCCGGTGAGGGTTGGCGATGCCCTTTGGCTTGCCGGTCGTGCCCGACGAGTACGACACGAAGGCGAGGCGGTCCAGGTCGTCGCTCGCGGGCAGGGGCTCCCTCGTCTCGACGACGACGGGCGCCGCATGGCCGTCTACAGGAGCGTCGTCTGGCTCGGGCTGGTCGATGATGATGGTGGCCACGCCCGACTTGATGCTGGCGGCATGGGCCTTTTGCGTGATGATGACGGTGGGCTTCGCGTCGTCAATGACATCGTGCAGCAGACTCGTTGGATACGCCAGCTCCAGCACGAGAAAGGCTCCGCCCGCGCGCAGGGCCGCCAGGGACGCAATGACATTGTCGGCGCTGCGGCCCATCAGGACGCCCACCAGGTCATCGCGGCCGACTCCGTACCGGCGAAGGCGATCGGCCAGGGACCACGTCAGGCTGTCGAGCTCCGCGTAGGTGAGGCTGCGCTTCTCGTCTTCCAAGGCGATGGCATCTGGCGTGGCCTGCGCCT